TGCCGAATTATGCTGATGCTTAATTGGAACGTGAATTAGTTTCACCTCTCATCACCAGCAGAGTGCGCTAAGTTCAGTGTTGAAAAAAAAAGTCAATGTTTGTACCTTCACCCATATTTTAGGTAAATATGGGTGAAGGTACAAACATTGACCATTGATTGATTATTTAATTTTTAACACAGTTTGAATTAACTTTGATTATTTAAAAAAAACTATGATGAAACGAAAGTTTTAATATTTTTTTAACAATAAATAATATTACTAACGATAACATATAAATAAAACATTTCGATTAATGCCAACTTAAAGAAAAAACACTTGTTAATCTTCTGTCTCTGAGTTGGTACGATTGCACGCATCACACGAAAGCATTACTTTTGAGAGTGCTCAATTGTGCGAAGCGTTGCTGTAGTTGGAACACTCAACGTTAAGCATAATGCCGCATAATGCGCTATAATGCTGTAATTGGAAAGCTACCTTGGTGTTGGTTCTTAGGCCAATTTTAACATTGTCCTTTAAAGTCTCTGTATGAAATGATACAGTCAGAAAAAAAAAACTTGCTGGAATTTTTTGCCAGTTTTTATTATAGCAAGATCTCCCACCCTAGGTTTCCGAACCACGTAAATTTTTTGAAGCGATTTTAATAGTTAAGAACTGCCCTTGAAGAGGATGACCGTATATTTGAACGTAATAGTATATAGACAATGAAATAAGCGAACGTGACCAATGCAGAATGATTTATTTTTAAAAACAGTTAAAAAAAATATTTTTTTCCAACACTCACACTAATTAGCTTAGACCTAAGGTAAGCACTGTAGGCTTGTTTTATGGGATACTAGGGTAACTGATAGAATACATAAACTGTTACATCATCATCATCAGCCTATTAATGTCCCCACTGCTGATGCACAGGCCTTCCTTATGGATGGAATAGGGAGATTGGGCCATGACCCACCACGCGCGCCCAGTGCGTATTGGTGGGTGCTAACGACAGCAGATGCAGCTGGGACCAACGGCTTAACGTACCTTCCCAAGCACGGAGGAGCTCGAGCTAGTAAATTTTTGGTCACCCATCCAATGACCGACCACTGCCAAAGTTGCTTAACTTCAACGATCGCAGCCGTACGCGCTAACCACTTGCGCCATCGAGCTCCTCCTCCTCGGGTACTGTTACATATATAAGTATATTTATTTAGAAGTACATATTTTAACATCCATGACTGGAGTACAAATATTCGTATTCATCTCACAAGCATCTGCCCCCACCGGGATTCGAACCCCTCGAGTAGGCGACACCTTGAAACCCGGCGTACATACCACTGAGGTCGTCAACGAAGATGGTTACAACGTTAAAGTATTATACAGAGTAACACGATAAAAACTTTTTACGCATATATAAACATAGACATAGTATTTATTTATATCACGGTGTCTTGATTTAAATATGCATAAAAAGTTTTTATCGTGCATATTTACAAAAAAGTTCACAACCATTTCACAACAGCTCTAGAAGAAAAATTAACGCCTACACGAAACCGCACGCAAGTCACTAATAATAATCCCGCCAAAAACATTTTCATGTAAAATGTTGCCAAGATGAGACTATAAGACAGTCACTGTCAAAATTTATTCAGATCTCATGTAGAGCCAAGCTTCTAACTCTACAAGACCTAACTTTACAAACTCTACACCTTAGTCAAAATATGTGGCTTGAACCATTTCGCTACATTCACATGGGCGTAAATTAAAAAATATATCTACTGTTCATTACATTTCTTTTATACAATATTTCTTCTAGTAAAGAAACGGCCAAGCCGCATACTTTGACTAAGGTGTAGAGTTAGTGAAGTTAGGCCTTGTAGAGTTGCGTTGTGATGAGTTAGAAACTTGGCTTTACATGAGATCTGCTAACATTTTGACAGTTCGTCTTGGGAACATTTTACATGAAAATGTATATTCTTTTTGTTTTTTTTTATGTTAAAATAGTGGCAAACAGCTTATAGCCCGCCTGATTGTCAGCGGCCACCATAACTTGTATACAAACAATATTACTAGCGCCGCCGCGCCGTTGCCTGCCCTGATCTCTACCCCGTGGAGCCCTGGAACCTTACTCACCGACAGAAACACTACTCCATCAGGATTTTTAGATATCAATAAAATCTAAAGTATAAAATCTATGCAATTAAAATGTTATTTGTTTAATGAGTCCGCTATTGACAACATATCCCGAGAATTTTGCGTATCTGGTATGATCTAAAATAATAAAAGACTTTTAAAAAAAGACGAAGCGCTTTAAGAAAAGGTAGTTTGTGCCTTTGCGTTTCGTTTGGCTCGTCTTGTCATCTTGGCGGGGGCACTAACCGTGCCCCTAGATGGCTCACAATAATTATTTAATCTAGTTTACAACAAAGCAGACCTTGTACAAAACAAATTAAATATTTTAAATGACACTGTTACTAGGGAAATAATAATTTGTGCTTATCACACAAATGTCCACCAACGGACCGAAAAAAAACAAAGTCGAAGAAGTAAACAAAAATGTGTAATTGTTAATATCAAAATCTGGCCAACCGGAAATAGCTGTAGACACTTTTATAAATATCTAACACAATAAATTAATGCAGAAATAAAACAAAAAAACTCATATTTGGCTGCAATGCATATTACAGACAGAAGAAAATGTTTTCAGAGGTGAGCGCCCCAATTCAAGTGGAAACTTTAAAATACATTACAGAAACCTAGCTCTCCCACATGTATGTACAACTAAACTGTAGTCTGAGAACTTTTTGTTAGTTATCTTCATAACTAACAAAAAGTTCACAGACTACAGTTGAATAAACAATTAATTCAGTTTATTACAAGACAAATAATTTATACCATTCCATTTAAAACAAAACATGAAAGATTAACCACTGCCTCAACCACGCCAAGAGAAATGATTAAATGCCTTTCACTTGGTCACAGATCAAAATAAACCCTAAACTTTGTTCAATGAGCTGAAACTTCTTAAAACCATCATTGGCGAAGGTGAATACACAATAGTTTTCAAACCAGTAGTACCACAGAAAAGAGAAAGAGAATAGTACGAATGCAATAACGGGACTCAATATAAATTTTCATTGTATTACACCTACACAAAACTAATAATGTGCTTATTTTACAAATGAATAATAAGACATATATTTTAATAAAATAAACAAAATATTACGTAACTTTACATTTCAAAAAAAATCTTCTAAAAAAAATTTTTTTTATTAAAGAATATTGAACTAGGTTCCAGGCTTTTTTTATTTTCCAAAATAAGGTAGTAAATATTTAATGGTAGAGTCTACAAACATTACGAATCAGAGGCGGCGTAAGAAGTGGGCGACGTGTTTGAAAGCGAATTTCTTTTTTTTATTATTTTATAAAATCCGTCTTCAGGTCGCCACAGAACAGGGCCTCGCGAAATCTGTCTTGCCCACATCCAATTTAGGTCTTGCCCCGCCACTGTTACGAATTAAACATTACTAATATTGGGTAAAAGTTGCGTGTTTTTACAAAGTAGATTCACCATATCTAATCTGTTAACTAAATGATTGATTAAATCGAGAAAGAGCTAATTGGCTGCATATGAACATCTTTTTCTAAAGTTCTGATTACAATGTAATTTATTGCTGGATTCCAATTGTTAAATGTCAAGAAATCACTTCATTGAAATATGTATCGAGTTACTGGCTATGGAAACTAAGCTGTGTCGAAATAATCAAGATCAAGGCTATCCGTTCGCAAATCGTGATTAGTCTAGGTAATCGTCTGTATATAATTAACTTTATACACAATCTATATTGCCAGGTGGCTAACATTGAGAATTACATCCATTCTATTCCAGATTATAAAGGATTTAATCCTTACAATGTTTAATGCATTTCACACGTAGCTGAAAAATCGAAATACTCGTATGGTCATTATTTTGTCGAATAAATGACAGAAGGCGGGGTAGTAGGGATAATTTGCTACGTCCTGTTTTTATAAAGTTTTAATAAGTAATAACGGTAAGCGACGATTATGAAAGTTGAAAGACTTTTGCAATGGGCGATAAATAAATTATTATCTCGATCTTCTTTGTGCTTCGGGAGGCACTTGAAACCGTCGGTCCCGGCAGCATTTGTAGTCGTTAGCACCCACCAATCCGTACTGAGCTCAGATGGTGGGTCAAAGACAAATCTCCATATTCCATCCATAGTGAAGGCTTATGCTGTGCCCCAGAAGTGGGGACATATTAATAGGCTAAAAGTTATAATGCTTAATTACATACTTTTATTGGTATATTATATGCACTAAAAAATTCTCGATCATGAAAAAAAATCATTACAATCATCTTCAATTAGTTTTAAATGGATAATCAATCATAATGATATTAGCCTGCATAAACATTTTAGATATAAAATATTATATAGGCATTTTAAAATCATTCGAAGATTATACTTATAAAAATCAATCAGTACAATATCAGTATTATTATTAATACATTATATAATAATAATAATCATTTACACTTATTCTTATAAGGTTAATGAATAAACTGCATTCAAATAGTTTTTACGCATCTTCAAAATGATTGTTTTTTCTTTGTTTTTTACTAAGTTAGGTAAGTAGAACTGAATTGACGCGAGCCATACGGTCTTCAATTCAATGATAAACATTCTCGTTCATTGAAAACATTTTTTTATTTCATTTGTCACTCGATTTGTAACCAATTAACTTTTTTAACGAACAAGAAAAAAATATATCGTAAAAGGATTGTCTTGTAGCTGCTTTTGTCTACGTTAGTTATTATGAACACAACACAACTAATTGCAGTGCCTAACGGTACACACGTATAAGGCAGGCAAACTGTAAAATCTAACACGAAATTATTTCATTACATAATAACCAATTCTCCAAAAAGTATTCGTTAAATCTGTAAGAGTAAAGTCAAATAAATCGGAAATATATTTAATTGAAGTTTAAGTGATATTATGATTGGTACTTTAAAATTGAAATGGCGTCAGTATTTAGCAGCTTCCTTGGGTAAAGTATTTAATTTTTCATAATTTCTTTTGATAACATTTAGACGGTGATACATATTTTCATTTTATATTTGGTTTTCATCATTTCTGTTCTTAATTATCTACTGGGTGAATTACTTGTCTACTTAGTTATTTATTTTGAATCAAAGCTTAAATTCATTTCAAAAGTAAATTCAATATTCAGTATATTGTAGTTTTTGCTCTAATTCTTTCCATCATGTCTCTGTCCACTTTCTTTGAACTGAAGCCACGAGACTCTTTCATGTATTACGAGAGGTAGGGCATCGCGAATTTTCCGCTTGAATTGGAGCACCCGTCTGGGGAAGTAATCTACACCGTACAAAAGACCAAAGTAAAATAACACTATCTTTTGGTGGTGTTGTGTTTCTGTCGCTAAGCAAGATTCAAAAGCTTGGCGGGGTAGGGGATAGGGTAAGGGTAGGTAACAGGGTAGTAAAAATTTTATTTTGCAAGCGTTTATAGGTTATGATGGCCGCTTACCATCAGGAGGACCATACGCTTGTGTGCCACTCTTTTTTACATAAAAAGCCAACAAAACTTTTTTTTTACTTTTATATGATTATAAGTAGTTCAATATTAAACTTCCTCATACGCATTGGAATGATAAAATCGAACTAAACGTTGCTAAGCGAATATGTAGGTACTTCTTACTATAGATGTATCTTTGAAAACCGGTCGCCCTTTAGACTAAGGAATTGCAACACAATCTAATGAATATTTTATTTTAATTATAATTCAACATGTTGCAATAACTTAAACTGGCGTTTTAAAGTAAATCATTGTATAACTTATAAACAGACATACAGAGCAATGCTAAAGTATGGAACTACTAATGCTGTGTGGTTTGTTTGACGAGATGAGAGCTTATAAGCTCCGTTGTATGTAATAAATAATGAAGTATTTGATATTTTAAGATACATAATTTCTAATATTGCTGTTGTAGTTCCTGATTGAAATGTAGTTACTGCAAGCTACTTAATCTATTGTGATTCGTCACAACTAATAGTCGTATAACACAGGTAGCTTTTAAAGCTCTAATTTTTACACGTTTAGACCTAGCCTATGTCAAATGTTTAGTTGTCATTTAATTTGACTTGACTTTGAGGGGTCTAAAATAGCGATATTTTACGTTTCATGCATTGTTCGTAAGTCATTACACAGACGCTTCACTTTTCGGACCTTAAAACTTCGCCATAAAATGACAAGATATTACATGAACATTAAATATATGAAAAAAACAATAAGGTATGAAGTTTCTGAATCAGCTTGTTTCTCAATTTTGAATTGAATGCGGAAAACGCTTAGGGGAAGGCCGGCCAAAGTGGACACTAACCTTTTGAGGACTGAGTGAAGGGAGCTGATTCAGATACATAAAAAATAATGATTAATCAAAAAGAGCATTTAATAAACTTTATAATGTAATTAGCAGAAATAACGTAAGTCAGTACAAAAACTAGCTTTTGCCCGAGACTTCGTCCGCGTGGTTATAGTAATTGGAGTAGCTTATTTTTTACTCAATCTGCTTAGTCATCAATCTGTTTTTATTATTTATTTAAAAAATATAAAAAAATATAAATGATGCGTACAATTAAAGTAAACTGGTCAATGAATGATTGATTACTGCGAGATATAAATTTTAATTAAATATAAATATTATTTTTTTGTTTTTCGCCCTTTGCTTACATGAAACATGCGTGGCCTGGAGAATGGCTGAGCTTGCCATGTATAGATTCACATGGGAAAAACAGATTTTCCTAAATTTACTACTGCTACTTTCAGTATTTGTTCTTGAGCTCTATTTTTCTATTTATTAACATCGCGAATGCTGCTTTAAAACTTTTTATACGGATTTAATGCTATAATTGCGAATTCATATATTCTCTTCCTGTACTGTTATTTGTTGCTACTTGATCTTCGCCGATTTAGCAAAGAGCACCTCGTGGCGTGACTGGAATGGTCTTGGGTGCACCGTTCTGTAAAAATGGTAGGTATCCGCCTTCCCCTAGTTGATATACATACTTTGATGTTCTATTAAAATATCGCTATATTGTAATGTCGTCATTTCTCAGGGCACAGGTCTTCCTTAAGGATTGCATAGGGAGAATCGGCCACAACCCAGTACGCAGGCCCCGTGCGTACTGTCTGATACTGATGTGACAAATTACCGTGGGCGCAAACTTGTATAATTTGCTGAATACAATAATTCAAAACGTCCTAAAATAAGTAGGGTATAACGGAGCACCCGTCTGTCCGTCCGGACATTATATTACGTATTTGACTTTTTTGTTTCCTTCAATGGCTAAATCCCTAAGACCGTCATACATTTTCAATAAATGATTGGTGTGGATAAATACATAATAAATGTGATATTTCATTTGTTTGCAGCAAGTTACGGCAGCCTGTGCACGGGCATGTCGATGGGATGGACCTCCCCGGTGCTGCCACAGCTGCGGGGAGAGCGCTCCCCCCTGGCGGAACACCCCACGCTGCAGGAGGAGTCCTGGATCGGGTCCTTGTTGGTGCTCGGAGGACTGTTGGGTAACCTATGAACAATAAGTTTAAATTCTGACAACCTTATGGCACTTAGGTACCTATATCTACCCAGAAACATAAAATTACTCGTCTCATTCTAATCATATTCTTATCGCAAAGAAACAGACGGAATCAACATTATAGTCAAACTTAAAAGTTAAATTAGCTTCTTTCTTGAAGTTATTAAAAACAACGTTATTAAAAGTTAATTAAATAAATGTGTGTGTTACACACCAATTAACTGTATAAGGCTTGTGTTATTTGATACTAGGGTGACGGATAAAAAACATATAATAAAGATACATAATAAGTGTTTTTTCTTTAAATATATATATATATATATATGTAAACAGCCATTACTTAGGTACAATAAATGTGCTCGTATTTATTATATACTTAAACATTCAAACTGACGGGATTCAAACCGGGACCTCTAAATCGGCATCACCTTCAAACCGGCGTATAATATTCCACTCACACCAAAATACGGAGGGCATCATCATTCATTTACTACTTCACTGATATTGTTATAATTTTATTTATTTATATTGATTGTATGTTATATTTTTAGCATTATACTGCTTAATTTATAAATCTTGAGAAATTTTTACCAGAATTGTTTTCTTTAAATTTCTTTTAATTTATTTAAGTTTATGAAATACATTTTCATTTAGAAGAGACATGTACGAACCTGTAGCGAAGTTTATAATATATTTATTTATAAGTCTATTTATTTTATTAGAAAAATAATCTACAGTGAAAGGCTTCCACTGTCACCCTTTGTTTACGGAATCCTAAAATGAATTCTATAAAATTCTTTAGTTACAAGTTGAAAAAGCTAATTAAGTAGGTACTTGTGATGTAGAAAAAAACGATAACAAACGTGATGCGATCCCGAAGAGAACTAGCTGAACTGGGTTAGGTATGGCAAATTCATTTCATGCAATTAAATTAGAATAACATTTAATTTGTAACGAAACGACCTTCATCAATAACAAATAAAAAAATAATGAATCACAGTAACCTGCCAATAAAACTTCAATCTTAGAATAATGTATAATTTATACATTATTTCTTGCTTCTTAACAAAGACTCGAGAACTAAATTGGGTTTTCTCCTATTAATATGCCTCCTTTGTCTATCAGTCTGTCACAGCCCTCTATCTCTTGAACCTTGAACGGTAATAGGTAGCAGATACCACAGAACACAGATACCTCTTTCTGTTTTATGTGAGAGGTACACACCTTTTTTAGGGCGCTTTCAATTTTTGCGTTTCTTGACGGCCTGCTGCGGTGCGAAACAGTTAGTTTGTCGTACAGTGTACGGACGATCCTTTTTTTCATACAAAACGCGCGGTGCGTCAACAGTGCGGCGCCGGTACCGCGAACGATCGACAAGAGGACAGGCCGTCAAGAAACGCATAAATTGAAAGCGCCCTTACAGAATACGTCTTACTGCTGGCTGGCAGCTATCACAACAAATAATAAAATAAACTAGAATAAAAAAGGGGTGACTTTTACTATCTCATCTACAATATTGTACACGGGTACGGGTACGGAGCCCTTCGTTTGCAAGTCCGACTCATCCTGAGCCGAATATTTGTGTAAGTATAGTAGTATACCATGCCGGGCAGAGCTACAACAGTAATACAATTAAAAATGATCCTTACGCAGTAGACAAGTGGCCATCTTTATATTCGAGCGGGCCTAAGGATCTCGCCCCTTCAAGGCCGGTGACGCTATAAAGGTCATATATGACCAACATACTCTATAAATAACTGTAGCAGCCGCAACGGCCGTTTCCTCTATGAAATGTAGTAATGAATGGTGAACTCCTCAGGTCCCCTCATAACCGTGCCCCTGTCAAGGCAGATAGGCCGTCGATGGATCATCATGAGCACCAACCTGCCTCTGCTGCTGGGCTGGTTGCTGGCAGGCGTCGCCACTAACCTGGAGACTCTGTATGCGGCGCGCATCATGTGGGGCTGCGCAACAGGAATGCAGTTCGCCACCATACCTATATACATTGGAGAGATCGCCGAGGTAAATACCTAGCTCGAAGTCAAATATCAAATTTTTTTAAAAAAAATTAGATGCGAATTTCTTTTCCCCTATCACCAGTTAAGGACATTTTTGACTGTGGATTAAAATGGGCGGCGGAAATTTTTATCACTGTTCTCGATAAGGATGCCAATCGCAATTATTTTAATGGTTTAATTGTACCAAAATAACCTGTAAAAACTGACAGAATTGATAAGGATTGCCGCTGCCAGCTTTTACACCACTTCGACATCTCGCTCTGTTTTCACATAGTTTGACGCTTGCACATATAGGTCTGTGGGAACAGGTGATATCAGGGTTTGGTTAATGTGCAAAAACTCTTCCAACAGGATAAAATCCGGGGTTCCTTAAGCGCCTTATTCTTACTGTTTATCAACGTGGGCTTTCTGCTGGCGTACGCCATCGGGCCGTTTACCTCGTACTGGGGACTCACGGGCACTGGCGGGATCTTGTCGCTGTTCTACCTGCCCTTCACGTGGCTGATACCGGAGTCACCGTTCTTTTTGGTGTACAAAGGTTGGTCGGTTAGTCTTTCTACTAAAATATAGTAGTTTTAAAACAAAAAAAGTGCGTCTTCCAATCATTTCAAAACAACAAATCTAAATGCACCATGCGTTGAAAATAACATTATTTTAGATCCAACAACAATCCCGTTGTGCTAAAGTTGGTACCTATTTAAAGAGTTTGTTGGTGAGAGAAAGTAAAGTGTTCTCATATGATTCCTGACAGTTTAGCAGTTACAGCAAACTGGTTTCCAAAGTAACTTGAACGCTTAATTTACGTAGTAGTATATTTATGTCTTATGTTTAGGACGTCTGGATGAAGCATCAGCAGTTCTTCAGCAGCTACGCGGCACCTCGAAGGAAGCAGTACAACCTGAGCTTGATGCACTACAGGCGATGATCGCGCGAGAGTTCAAAGAGGAGCCTCGTATACGCGACTTGTGGGCCACACGCGGAAACCTGAAGGCTTTGGGTGAGTAATAAAATAAGGTAGGCAGAAAGAAGAGGAATCCTACGGATTTCTTTTTTCTTTTATTTTCTTATTAATAACATAGCATCCTAAATAAACAGAAGACCAAGAAAAACAAATTAATTAAATTTGTCGGTGGAATTCTGGCGCGATTATAGGGAAGTAATCCACCTTACAGAAGATCACAGTGAAACAACACTACTTCAGGTGCTGTTGTTGTTTCTGTTCGTTAGTAAGGTTCCAGGGCTACACGGGGTTGGGAATGGGGTCCGGGAACATGGGCACGAGTGATAGCATTATGCAATGTGAATTTTGAGTTACCTGAGAAACTTTAAAATCGTGTAAATACAAATAATGCACCCCCATACGAAAATATTTATTTATACGTTTACAAAATATCCTAAGGCGGCGCAAATTTGTAAATAACATACGTATCTTTGCATTATTATCCCTTTAAAGTACCTACGTAGATCCTAAAAGTAGATTTATTTCAATCAATTCATAAGATTTAAAATTGTTAAGGTTTCATAATTGCACAATAAGCGTGTTTAAGTGGAGATATTTTTCAAAAAAATATTAATTTAAGCTCTTTTTCTTTTTTCAAAAATATAGCCTAAACCGCTGTTGGCCACTTACCATCAAATCACAAATAAGTCTTACTACGAGTAACTTTAGTATCTACCTCCTTATTCATGATTACATCGTTTTTTTTCTTAGGCATATGCGTGTTCCTCGCGATGTTACTCCAGCTGTCAGGCATCGATGTCCTCCTATTCTACATGGAAGAGTTGCTGGCGAAGGTCGGATCCAGCATCTCCGCTGCACACGGCACCATTATCATGGGTGTGGTGCAGGTGGTGACCAGCTGCGTGACGCCGCTGGTGGTAGACCGGCTGGGCAGGAAGCTGCTCATGTGGACCACGTCTCTGGGCCTCACTGTATTCCTGGTAGGTCTCTGAAGGCACCATCACCATGAGCGTGGTGCAGGTAGTGAACAGCTGCGTCGCGCCACTGTTGGTAGGCTGTCTGGGCAGGAAGCTGCTCGTGTGGACTACGTCTCTAGGCCTCACAATATTCTTAGTAGGTTACAGAAGTCCCAAGCTACTTAAACACCTGAGGCGAGTCCATTCTCTCATGCAATACGATTATATTTCAAGTGTTAGCAGGTTTTTAAGAAATAGAAAATTACGGTTGTAAACTAAAAATTTCAGGTGGTTCCTATGTGTCGTATTTGATATGGTCCTAGTTTTTTAAGGTCGAATCGAATCGAACCGACTGAAACCAACAATCATGGTCCAATCTCTATTCCATCCGTAGCGAAAGCCACTGCCCCAGCAGTAGGGACTTTTAATAACACAAAGTATCTACGTAACCGTGTAGGCTAGGATGATGAATGAATGAAATGAATTAACTTCGTGTATTAATGACATTGTATTTCATTTGTTTCAGGGATTAATAGGAGTGTACGCAGTACTGGACTCGCATTTCAAGGTGGATGTCTCGCATGTCGCTTTTATACCGTTGGTGTGTTTAGTCTTCTACATGATACTCTTCACCTTGGGTTCGTATCTTGTTCGTATAGTGTAGTTGCTACGTTGTAAGTAGGATTAAAGCAATTAAAACTACTTGTACCTGTATAAAGATGAAATATAAAATAGTTTTAAAACTTACCCGATTACGGGGATACAGCTTAAATAATTAGTACCTACTTATATATAGAAAAGAGTTAAATAAATTGTGAAGAACATTGATAATTATCTATCTATACATATAATAAAATGGTAGGAAATTCAAAACTGTACTTTGAATATTTAAAAAAAAAACTTGGGGTGTGATCTACAATCAATACCGAAGCCAAAAATATAGTTTTAAGAATTTTTGTCTGTTTGTCTGTATGTATGGCCGGGATAAACTCAAAAAGTACTGTATGGATTTACTTCAAATTTTATTAAGAAGTCGAGTCAACATATAGGCTACATATTATTACGCTATCACCTACGGGGAACGAGCAGTGAACCTTTATATCTTACTAACTCCACGCGTACGAAGTCGCGGGCGACCGCTAATAATTAATAATTTAGCAGAAGTGCAGCCTCTACCATTCTAATACAAAAAGACAGACTCCGTTCTCCATTTGAATCTAGCGCGTTTTTGCACGCGAAGGAAAAGCATGGCCTACTAGACTTACAGGAGCGGCGCGTTTTGATACTATCAGTTCTTTGTGCGTTTAGTGTACATCGTAAGATCAAGATCTAGTTACGGGTTCTATTCCCAGCTGGATCATAAAGCTTTCGTTGTTTACTTATTATCATGAATAGGTACTCCGAGATCAAAAGAAATAAATACCGTCATCATCATCACTATCAGCCTATTAATTCCTAACTACTGGCCTTCAATAAGGATGGCAAAGGGAGAATGGGTCATCATGACCCGCCACGCGCGCCCAGTGCGGTTTAGTGGATGCTAACGACTGCAGATGCAGCCGGAACCAACGGCTTAACATGCCGCCCAAACCACGGAGGGACTCGATATAAGAAATTTCTGGTCACCCATCCATAGACCGGCCAATGTTAAAGTTGCTTGACTTCCACGATCACAGGCCGAAGCACCTGTGCAATCGAGCTCCTCTCTGTATTCTGCTCCTACTGTATCAATGTTAAAATCGACCCCAAGAACAATGTTCTAATCTCCGGCCGCTCACTAGTTTCAACTTGTGCTTATTTCATCATCAGCCTTTTAATGTCCCCACGGCTGAGACACAGACCTTCCCTATTGGTTGGAATAGGGAGATTGGGCGAGCCCAATGCGGTTTGGCGGACGCGAACAACTGCAGATGCAAAGGAGACCAACGGCTTAATGTGCCTTCCGAAGCACGGAGGAGTTTGAGATAATAAGTTTTTGGTCACCCATCCATATGTTAAAGTTGTTTGACTTCCACGATGTCACTGCGCTATCGAGCTCCTCTCTGTACCTGTGTATATTAAAATCGGCCACAAGAACAATGTCCTAAGTATATTGGCCGGTCACTTGCTTCAACTTGTGTTTATTTGTAAGACAATAATTGCATGACGCCTTTGAAATATTTGTAAAGGTGTGGGCCCGGTGCCGTGGATCCTGGTCGCGGAGATGTTCCCGGTGAAGACGAAATGTATTGCGAGCGGGATCGCCTCATTCATGTGCTGGCTGGCAGGCTTCATCTGGACCAGGTATACACCCGGCAAACTATATGAGCAACGACCATAGACAAAGAAGCCTGCGCAATATCAATTTTACATACAAAAACGTCTACTACGCAAGTTTGTCTGTGGTTTTGCTCAAGTAGTTTGCCGCTACGCTGCCACCTATACATCATCAGCAACGAGAGATGCTTTTATAGGAATTTCAAAGTTCAGTTTTATTGCATTTTTGAAGGAGTTGGGGGACCTTGTTTTTCATCCGTTTATCTCGTAAGACTCGACTTTCATAACAACTCACACTGAACTAAGAGAATGAAAAACATAGATCGCTTATCGTACGGATGCCAAATTTCTATACAGAAGGAGAAATGTTTGGTTGATAGAAACGCGCATTTTTACCAAGGCTGTTTACTGAGGAGGCTGAGGAGCACGATGGCGCAAGTGGTTAACGCATTCGGCTGCGATCGTTGAAGTTAAGCAACTTTCGCAGTGGTCGGTCATTGGATGGGTGACCAAAAATTTACTATCTCGAGCTCCTCCGTACTTCGGAAGGCACGTTAAGCCGTTGGTCTCGGCTGCATCTGCAGTCATTAGCACCCACCAATCCGCACTGGTCCCGCGTGGTGGGTCATGGCCCAATCTCCCTATCCCATCCATAGGGAAGGCCTGTACCCCAGCAGTGGGGACATTAATAGGCTGATGATGATGATGAAGGCTGGTTATATTTATTTCTACATCAATATGTAGAAAAATATATTATTATGACCTATCCCATGATTGGTTGGGATTTCCCTTTAACATTATCTTACTCAATGAATGGATAGCCCAATTCATTTTGCAGACATTTGATTTGTCAAACTGTTTAATTTTGTCTGTGTGCGTGTCGCGTTAGTATTAATATTTAATTTAGAACAATCTTTTAGCGGCCTTTGTTAAGGGTAATGCCTCCATATCATTTATAATTCGTTGGATAATATAAACCAAGAATCCAACTTGTACGCAGATTCTTCCGCGACGTGGCTGCATCATACGGCATATACACCGCATTCTGGATACTAGCGATATGCTGCGGGTTCGGCTTCATATTCTCGGCCACGCTGCTGCCCGAGACCAAGGGGAAAACCTTCGACGAGATTCAAGAGATGCTCAACAAAAGGTGCGGTTCTAAACCTTGTGCTAACGGCTTATGGTCTCACCTTTGAATATTTATACGCCTAGTTAGAGTATACCAAATAAACCACGCAATGTCAACGGCTCATGTGACGCGTTATGTGTGCGGGAGTAATTTTAGATTGAAAATATAATTGGGAGATATACTCTACTACAAGTGAAAGTGTCCACCTAATAGAAAGAGGAAGAAGATGAGAGACCGCTAGCTTTTCTATCTTATCGCGCATGCGCATTGGCAACCGTAAGCATCTTACTATTTCGATACCATGCATCATGCCATTGGACGCCATGCATCACAAGAGAGAGAGAGAGATAACTGGCGGTCTCTCATCTTCTTTTTCTTTCCACTAGACGGACACTTTTACAGCCGCCTTCCCCACTCTATTCTTATACCTCTATGCTGTCAACGAGCTTATCTAGCATACCTCCGTGCAGTTAATAGGATATCTAGGTGTTTATATAATCAAAGGGTCGGTCTCAGTGTTAGTGTGTTGAGCAAATTGAATGCTTGTTAAAACGATATGTTCGTATTCTGTTGTTAGAAGAAAATGGCAGCGCCTAATTTAATGAAAGGAAGATCTTAGATTTTTGCCCAATTTTGTACCTTGGTACAAATTATCTTAAAAAACATTTAAAATACTCAGTCATCAAAATCTCAAACAAATTAATATAATAAAAATCTGAATTAAAATAGAGAATCTGCGTATAAAGAAACGTTATTAATTAGACGCAATTTGTCATTGACTGACAGATGACAGATAATACTATTGGTTTAAATTCATTTCCTTGATTGTGATTGGTTGTATAAGAAATCATATGATTTCCGTAGCTAATTGGTATTATCATAAACATACATCTTTACCATAATATATTATCTGTGTTGCCATTTATTGAAATGTTTGAACGACATTTTTATGTGGTACAAGTGGATAATAAATTCTATTTATATTTTTGATGAATTCAGCGTATTTTTCTACACATAAATGCATGGTAATACTTGAGGTACAAAGGACAATGTTAAAGTTGGCCTAAGAACCAACACCAATTTGGCATTTATGATAATTCTTAGTATATTTTTTGCGATAATTATCAGTATTTAGATTGTGACAGATTGTGATGGACACTTCAAGTTAAGTAAGCTATATTAAAAAGTAAAAAAATAATCTAAGACAATAACTACCATTTATGTGTATGATCTATGACAGCGCTGCAAACAAAACACTCTTTCTTCCGGTACTTACTTGGCTATTCGTGTTTGCTATTTGAAAACTTGACATCAGTCTGTCCTTTCCATTCCTTGATCACCATTCCTTGATTCCATGACAAGAACAGAATGTTGCCAAGTGAAGGGCCAGCATACAACTCGATACTCTGTGGTTGTGGTGCAGGCAGTTTGCATTCGTAGTAATCTGTGGCATTCGTGCATTCTCATTTCGGATTACGGAAAAATGATTTTAAACAATTCTTTGTCAGATTTTGTGGAATCCAATAATTTAATCCAATAACAATTTGGGCTAGATACCAAGAAAATGTCAACCCCCTGCTCAATTCTTAGATGACATTTTAGTACTAAAGTAATATCGATGTGCATAAAAGATATATTGAGTGAAAAATAGTTATAAATAAGAAGCAAAATTACAGTTTTTATTTTATTCATGATTCCTACCTAAGTTTTAATAGTTATTCTTTAAAATCGCACTGAGTTCATACTAAGTTCATAGGTTGACCTGTTTCATTTAATATTAAACATAACCTCAAAAAATATTTAGTTTTTCTGATTATTTAATTTCTCGGAAGTGTCCGTCAATAATCTTTGTTTTTACAGTCATTTACTTGCAATTTCGAACCTAGAAAATAATATTTCATGATTGTTGGTTCTTAGGCTAACAATCTAAGGACGCAGAACAATGTCCTTTGGGCAGTGTTGTATAGAGAAAAGAACGGATCTTTTAATCAAACTTAATAACACATTGAACTCTTTTTTTTAAGAACACAACTTTGATTTTCGTTACCTATATACTTACTTATTGTAATGTGTTAGGGATAAACTTTACCTATGATAATAATAAATAAATGAGGAGCTCGATGGCGCAAGTGTTTGGCGCGTTCGGCTGCGATCGTTGAAGTTAAGTAACTTTCGCAGTGGTCGGTCATTGGATGGGTGACCAAAAATTTACTATCTCGAGCACCTCCGTGCTTCGGAAGGCACGTTAAGCCGTTGGTCCCGGCTGCATCTGCAGTCGTTAGCACCCGCCAATCCGCACTGGGCCCGCATAGGCTGATGATGATGATGATGATAATAATATACTTTCTTTGCCATAATTTTGCAAAATTTCATTGGGAGCAAGGAGGTATGAGTGATATCCGCTTAGGAACTTAGCATTTAAGGAGCGCTATTTAACGGTTAACACTGGTTAATACACAAGTGGCATTTCATTCGCTAATCTCTTTTACATTTAATAAAATGGACAAACGACGTAGAACGTTCTTCTTCGAACGAACCAGAATCATTCTTATGAAATGAATTTATTAATGCAATGTGTTTTTACTTTTTCAGCTCCGGAAAAAAAGAGGTGAAGCCAGTCGATGTGTAGAATTCGGAATAAAGAAAATATAATCATAAAGTTAACATTAGCATAACATGTGTGTTGTATAGTAATCGTAATGTAAATAAAAAAATCTCAATAACAATCGGTTTTTTTTTTCAACATCATAAAAAGTTATCAATCAAACCAAAAACTGAATAATTCTGGCACTTTATTCAATTTGAAATATTCAAACGGACGATCAGTAGCATTTTATCTTATTTCATCAACATAATTATCTTATTTTTTCATATTATATTATTCATATTTTATATTATATAGAAAAATACCGAAGGACATCTGTAATATTAATTATATAACTAGGAAAACATATTCACACACACACGAAACGTGAATGAAACGCGATGTGAAATTTATTCTATTTATAATATATACTATATATAATTATAATCTTACAGTTACCGATATAAATCAAGAATAATGATAATATAATATAAAGTAATTATAATCAACAAACTTATCTCTGGAATTGTAGTGGGCAAATTCTGAGCCCTAACACGTCTTTGCCTATTTCGGCTACCCCGCAAACTGGGCACAACTTCCCTTTGTGTTCCGGTAGGAAACTCGCAGCGCAAAGGGAGCATTTCTCTTCGGGCTTCCCTCTGTAAATGGGCTTGTAGGATATTCCGCAGATGTTGAAAGGATTGTGTTCATCGTAGTAAAGTTGGTGTTCGTCTGTGGGCGTTTTCTCGCAAGCTTGTAGGATTTTCCTCGCTTGTTGGGCGACTTCGGGCCGCGGTCCGAGTTCTAGCAGGCGTCTCGCGAAAGAAGCCGCAGTTCTGAAGTTCTTAAGCTTGAAGAACATGTTGAGGGCCGTTCTGAGCGTGAGGATTTGATGCACGGGCTGGAGCTTGCAGTGAGTGAAGTAAGCGGCCATCTCGCATGTGCGCTTCTGTTCGTCCAAAGTGTTCTTCGGCATTGCTGTAGAAAATTCATTGAAATTAGTATTATATAATGAGGTGGCGTTAAAATTGTATATGAAATCTATAGTAATAGTAAAAGGACAAAAGATCTGTATGTTTGTACCAAATAATCTGGAAAACAGCTTCACTAATAGAACAGTACATTATTCCTGCCTCCCTAACATGAGCATCGCATATATAACTCGTTTTGATCACGCTCAATTGTCAAATTACTATGGGGCTAATTAACATTTAGACACGATAAAAAGCATGATATAATGTAAATAATGGTGCTCATGCTACGGGGACAGAATGACGTAAGATATATTATATCGCGTTAAAATAAATTTCCCCTATCTCTAATTCTTATTTCCCTATCTGTCCATCTACATCGTAATAAAAAGTGAGTGTTAATCTATACATATAATAAAACTAGCTGACCCAGCAAACTTCGTACCGCCATAAAAAAAAAATAAAAAAACATTGTCCAGCGGACAAAATTGTGAATCTAAACCATTCTCAGATCCCCTTGAACACACACAAAAAATTTCATCAAAATCGGTCCAGTCGTTTAAGAGAAGTTCAGTGACATACACACTCACAGATGAATTATATTATATAGGGTGAAATTGAATGTTTCTATGAAACTTCGTGAGATTGTTGGGTTATGTGTATAGAGTATGCCTGTCTTTTTTCGGATTTTTTTGAAGTATATTTTTTTCATGTATTTATTTATAATTTGTGTATTTTTATGTCCTTTCCTCGTTTTGAGTATTTATTCATTTTAGACAAACAAACTTACATATCCAGTGAAAAACAACTAATAAATAAGCACTTCTAAAAAACGGAAAAACATTGAAATTCCACCGCGGGTCAACGACCGACCGCGCCCGCCAGCCGTTGAGTGAGTAGGTACCTAACTCTACACAGAGCTCAACTGACTCGTTTGATTCCACACAATACAATAAAATCGTCTTAGATGCCTTTATTGAAATTGAAATAATAAGCACAAATGTCATCTTCTCTTAAGCAGAGAAAAACTTTAAAAGTTAATAATAATTTTGTCACGATTGGAAATAGGCAAATGTTAAACAAAAAGAAATACTTATTGCTTCAATTTAATAATTATTGGGTCAGAATGAAATTTATAACCAGGTATTCAAAAGTACTTACGAGACCGGCGATGTAGGTAGGTACAATGAGGAACGAGGAACATATTAATTTTTTTCACTAGAACTTTTTATCAAATCAATCACACTGGTAGTACACAATTAGTTGTTTCTAATCAAAAAGTATTTACACTAGCAATAAAAAGAGACTTAAATTATTATCTGCAAAATTGTTGCTCTAAACCACCATTTTGCTGCAAACAAAGGTAGGCATGTTTGCGGACGTGTCTTTTCACCTTTTTTAAAGTGTCCCTATCACTACTCACTGCACAAAATGCAACTTCTATGGTTTGGGGACTCATTCGTAAACCAAACCTATTTCGTCACACTCGCGATAGCAGTACACCATCTCTAAATATTCTTGGTTTGTATACCGAGGCATAATGAAATTATCACAGTGTATGTCACCAAGTCAAAAGGTGCGCACGCCCACGCGCGATTGATATACTTGCGACTGCGTTTTGCATGCAATCAAAGCAAACGTCCGCGTGCGGGGAAGAGGGGAGGTGGGCGGAATTCACATCATCAAAGACGCCGCAACCGGCGCTAGTTGGCAGCGTGCGGCGCGCCGCCCGCCCGTGCTTGCCGCAAAACAACATATTATTATGTGTGTGTGTGTGTGTGTGTGTGTGGTGTGTGTGTGTGTGTGTGTGTGTGTGTGTGTATGTGTGACTGTGGCTGTGATTAAATGTGTTCGGAATTTCATGACGTGGGCAAATCAGACACGAAGAGTTCCTTCCTTCACTAAGCTCATAAGTTATACCTATTTGCTCTTAATTTTAAGAAGATTTATTTTATTGATTAATTACCTGTGCTTTATGAAATAATATTCAAAGGTATTGTGTATCAGTGAATAAATAATTATAATATAGCATCTAAGACTATTTTATTGTATTGTTTTTAAATAGTGTGGATCAAAGCAGAGAGTAGGTAAGCGCCGAGTCATCTGTGCGTGTAGTAGTTACCTAGGCGGCCGCCGGTCGTCGCCCCGACCGGCGCTGATCTCGACTGGAGGGCATAATGAAGGCATTCATTAAGTTTCCGTTTTTTTAGTAGTGCTTATTTTAAGTTGCTTTATAACTTCTATGTAGACGTGTTTAAAATGAATAATTACTCATAAGGAAGAAATGACAAAAAAATAACCAAATAAAAAATTAAAAAACGAAAAAAATTATTTTAAACAATCCGAAAAAAATCAGGCATACTCTATACACGTAACCCATCAATCTCACGAAGTTTCATAGAAACATTCAATTTTACCCTGTATATAAAGATGGTAGGAAAGTCAAAACTATACATTGAATATTTTTTTAAAAGAATACTAGGGGTGTGACCGACAATCGATACCTAAGCCAAAAATATAGTTTTTAGAATTTTTGTCTGTTTGTCTGTATGTATGTCTGGGATAAACTCAAAAAGTACTGCATGGATTTACTTCAAATTTGGCACGAATATTATTAAGAAGTCGGGTCAACATATAGACTACATATTATTACAGAATAATCTGACTATAAACATAAAAAAAAACTTGTTTCATGAATTTTAATAGTTCTATTGGTAAATCATTAAATATTAACTACAAAGGGCAAACACTAAAAAACTCGAACACAACCAATTTCCTCGCCATAGAAATTGACCAAAAGTTGGACTGGAAAACACATATAGAATCTATATGCAATAAAATTAACCATTTTACATTTGCACTTCATAAATTAACGAAAATAGCTACAAGAAATACTGCTCTTACAGCATACTTTGCATATGTCGAATCAGTCCTGAGATATGGATTAATTGTATGGGGAGTATAGAAGCCAATAAGGCTTTTATAGTGCAAAAAAAATGTGTAAGAGCTATATGTAGAACTGCACCTGACAAACCGTGCAGACCGCTGTTTAAACACCTCTAAAATCTTACCATTGCCTTGTCTTTACATTTTTGATGTTGCCAAATTTGTAAAGCAAAATATGCATCATTTTAAACAAGCTGAAGATGTGTACCCTCGAAATACACGCAATGGCAATAGACTAGTCTCTGTGATAATTCCAAAGAGCATGCGGTTTAAAAAGACTTGTTATTGGATGTATATACAGATCTATAATAAGGTATAAAACAATTGCATTTTATAAAATTTAAGACTACTTTGTTTAAATGGCTACACGATAAGATGTTTTATAGTGTAAAAGAATATTTGAGTGATTGTAACTAGTGACATTTTAATTATATATAATTATAGTAGGTTCTTCTCTTTACCTAATGGTGCTTTATAATTGGCATTGTAATCTTTGACATTATTGATATGACTTTTGAATTATTTTTTGGTATGTATTTAATTTTGAATGATGTTTTATAATGAAGCGGTCACTTTTTGTAATTTCACTGACTTATTATTTATTTGATGAATTTAAATTTATTGTTATTGATATTGAAAAATGATTTCTCAATGTTGATTAATATGTATTACGTTTAATTATGTAGTGTAAAATATTTGCATGCTATTTAAGATGGCTGAATGGGCCGAACTTCAAAATTTGTAAGATCCCCAGTGTACCCTATTCAAATGCAAATAAATTAATTCTAATTCTACATATTATCACGAAACTCTACCCTTAAGGGGGTAATACGGGGGTTGGAAGTTTGTATGAAAGTCCTATGTTTTTGAAGTAAGAGACTTGAAATTTAACATGTATGCTCTATAGATGTTGTAGAGGTGTACTAATAATGTATCTTAAGAAATAAACCCCCTCTTGGGGTCAAAAAGTATGTACAAATACCTAGCTCCACGCGTACGAAGTCGAAAAAAGAAATAGAAAACCAACCTTTCCTAGCAGTCTCCATCTGTAATCCGAGCAGATATTCCCTACAGATTTGCAGCAACTGCGTGGCTTCAGTCAGCTCCGGTTTAGCGTCGACGTGCAATAGTGGTATGCATTGAGCTATCCTCTGCAACTTGTCAACGGCTTCGGTGAATTTGCCGGCGGTGACGAGTTGATAACACTGCTGCAACTGGCTGACGAGGTCGTTGAGCTTGAGCGCTGGAAAGGAGAGGATTTTTTATATCTTGCCATTATAAGCTTAAATGCTCCAGAAGCATTTAGAATGTAAAGTTGATAACACTCCTCTGCAACTGGCTGACGTGGTCGTTGAGCTTGAGCGCTGTATGAGCGTACCGTATATATCTATATATACCGTACGTATTTACCCTTTTTGTTTTATTCTAAGACCGTAAATAATCAAAAAGAAGTAGAAGAACGGGAGCATTAAAAGGTAAATGATGATGATGATTATATATGCAAATGAAATGAGATGATTTTTTTTCGTTTCATTATGTATAATTAAAAAAAATATATGAATGTTTTGTAATTTGGTGAATAAAATGTTTCTTTCTCTCTCCATCTCCCTCTCTCTCAAATGAGAAAACTCACTGATAATAGGCAGTAGATCCTTCCCGCTGGCCTCCTTCCAGTTGCGGTGCAAATGAGCCACCAGGGGCGGCACCATCGGCAACGCGACGAACGTCATTCTGGCGCCCGCGTACATTCCCAGGAATGTGTCCAAGTAGGGATCGAAGTTCACTATGCCCACTTGCTCGTTCAACAATCTGTTGGGTGGACCAATCTTTATAATTTTGTTCTTTTTAAGCCTTTATTTGCTGTATATCTAAATTATGTTATATAAATTATATCATAAATTGTGGGTTACCTACACCCACCCTACCCCACTCTACCCTACCTATTGTAGGCTAGCGAACTTCTTACCGCCATAAAAAATAGGGGTTGGTGGTAAAAGGGTAAAAAATTTAGGGTTGTATGTATTTTTGTATGATGTATCATAAAATAACAAAAACAAAAAAATTGTCCAAAAAAAAGTTTAAACCCTTAACATTTAGGGGGATGAAAAATAGATGTTGTCCAATTCTCAGACCTACTGAATATGAATATAAAATTTCACGAAAATCGGTCGAGCCGCTTCGGAGTACTTCAATTACGCACACCGAGACACGAGAATTTTATATAAAAAAGATAATTTTTATGTAAATGTTTATTGAACACAGCCCCCCTAGCATGAGTAACAAAACGCGATATGATAAAGCGATTTATCGACATTAACTGTCAAACTACAATGGAGTTTGACAGTTGAGTGTCGATAAATCGCTTTATCATATCGCGTTTTGTTAGTCATGCTAGGGGGGCAGATGTAAGTATATTCGTATTCATCTTAACCCTTTCTTTCGATATCCATAATGAATATACAATCAAACGAATTGATTCCTGACTAGGGTTTATCATTATTCGTCCGGATATTCATCTAGATTATTTTAAACTTAGTATAATATGTTATAATAAAAAGTAGGTACAGTCAGTCCCTGTAGCATGAGCAATATGTACGTTTTTTATCGCGTCTAACTCTAAAGTAATTTGGCAATTGAGCGTGATAAAAATATACTATATGTATAACATCGCGGTGCGCATTCTAGAAGGGCAGGTGCTATAATTTGTTATTATTTTAACAAAGATGTGGTTTGAACATTCGCATTGCAATAAGGTCGCGAAATCTTTAGATAAATATGGCGTATATGCGTCAAGTAAAATGGAAATTAATAGGCTAGCAGACATCAATATTTATACATTACTAGCTGTCCCAGCGAACTTCGTACCGCTATTAAAAAAATAGATGTTGGTGGTAGAAGGGTGAAAATGTAGGGTTGTATGTATTTTCGTATAATGTATCATAAAAAAATAAAAAAAAATGTCCAAAAAAAAATTAAGTGTGGACCACCCTTAACATTTAGGGGGATGAAAAATAGATGTTGTCCGATTCTCAGACCTATGAATATGCATATAAAATTTCACAAAATCGGTCGAGCCGTTTCGGAGGAAATCAATTACGCACACCGTGACACGAGAATTTTATATATTAGAAAATATTATTTATGTTTATTAGGCTGACCAAAATCTAATACAATTTATCTTCATTTACCTGAAGGCGATCTCGAACTGTCCCGTGGCGATGTGATCGTGGGCGGTTCTCAGTTTGCCCAGCAACGCGACGCTCGTCCCACGCGTGGGCGCCACGAAGTACTGGGCTGCCTCGTCACCACCATCAATGTCGGCTATATGAGAGAGATCACCATAAACAAATAGTTTTATGAAAATTTCTCTAAAATAAATGAGGATCTGACAACAACACAACGAACAAAACGGTATAATTACGCATCTGGTCAACCTACTTTTTTTTACAGTCCGGAGGTTTTGGGCCTGTTGAATGTGAATCTCAAATAATTTTCAATCAAACCGCCTAAACCAGTGTTAAAATTGCTAAATTTTATGAATTAAAAACCATGCCAAAAGCTCACTGTAAGTATGTCATTTAGTTTTATACAGCTCTTGTAAAAATTAATTTTATGTAATTATACCGTTTTGTTCGCCAGCTCCTTAAATAATACCAATTGAACATCCAGATACCCGGGCCACAAACAATGCATACGGTGAGCGGACAACTACCTACCTTTTGCCCCGACTTATTAATAACTTGCCGACAGAATTACGAGACAGTATCATACATAAGAATGTTAATTATAAGGTGAAAGATAAATTTCTTAGTTTGCTGTAACTCGGTTGTATAAGAGCATTTATTATGTTCTAAGTAAGTTAATAAAAAAGTAAACTTGGATAGAGCAGTTTTAGATGTTATATAATGCCATTGTTTAATGTTTATGGATGTGATAATAAACAACAAAGAAAAAAAACCTTATCTACATTATTGTACTTCAACTAAAGCTAATAGTAAAACAATAATAGTTGCACTACACGAAGTTAGTGTGTGCTGCATTCGGTGCGCATGCTTGTTGTATATCACATCTATTCGAATGGAGCTACTTTGTTCTACGTTAAACGGGGTTAAAACAGCGTTTTAATCTCTAGTGACGATAAGTGTTTTATTTCAGGAATCAGAGAGAAGAATCACCAAAGAGATCGATCAATCACGAATATTTTATGAAAAAGTCACAGGTCACAAAACAAACACTTTTTCCTGAGAGGAACTTTTTTTTTGCTCTCTCTTAATCTACTACTACTAACAATCTACTATTATTTCTTACTAAAGTTAACTTTGATTTTTTTGGAAACCCACAGGAACTTAACCTTTTCTCGGGATAAAAAGTATCCTATGTCTCAATCCAGGTCATAAACTATATATTTAATAGTTTTTGCGTGATTGAGTAACAGACATACTATTTCTAATATTCTATTTGTAATATTAGAAGGATTTCTAACGTTCACTAGTTTAAAACTTCAAAGGGTTATTGAACTACTCACCAGACACGGGTGCCAACTCCTCGGGTAGATCCAGGTCTTCGTCACCAACATCCCAACCACCATCATCGCAAGCGTCTTCCATAGGTTCCTCTGGTTCTCCTTCCTCCTAGAAAATCATTATAATGAAAAATGAGCGTGTCCTACTGTTCTTACAGAATAGCACGACTGAGGTAAGACAGTTTATTTCTCATAAAATTTCTTTCGATTATGTTGACATTTGCGTTACCTTTTCCTTCAGTACATCGTCATCGTCATCTCCCCAAGCACCAGCAGCTTCTAAAGGTTCATCACCGACCGCTGCCACAGCCGTTGGATCGGAATCTGGCCCTCTCACTGCACTCGCTACTTCGAAGAAACTCCTGATACACAAAATAGGGTGTTTGCTTTATAGAATGCCGTTCAAACTCAACGGCGGCACAATGAGAAATGTCTCAATTTTATCTTAGGAGTAATATTGCTGTTTTGATTCTCCCAAAGCTGCGCGACGAATCTTCGGGTGGATATGGTACCAAATGCGCTAAAATTAGAGTTCCAAGTTCGAATTAGTTGTGTCGTAATTAATTATTGGGCTGAGTGTCTATAGACGCTAGACTAAAGCTTGACTGGTGATAATTTGACACGCAGAAAGAGGTTGTGGAAGACTATAAATTTTGTATGCGCAGCTGATGGAGCATACTTAATTCATAGTTCGAACGCAAATTTCAGAGCATTTAGTAATAAAACTTCGTAATGCAGGTGTGGGATAAACATTACAGTTATATGGCAACAGTAAACAAAATATAGGGTGATGTCGGCGCGCTTGAGTTCACTGATCTGAAAACTGCGCACAGTTGCGCTCGCTGCTAACTCACGACTACTATGAAATATAGATCGCACTACTACTAAAAAAAATAACGTATCAATTGTTAGTATTTGTATTTTAAACACGAAAATTGGCAGCAATTTATTGTTTTTTTTGTTTATTGTCAAGTGTTCGAAAACGGACAGACGGACAACAAAGTAATCCTGTGACGTTTCCATTTTTCCTTATAAAGCTGCAATTATATTATATTATATTCTCATAGTGAAACTCTTTTCGAACGGGTATAAAAGCGATTTATTAACTTTTCGTTCAATATTCTTGACCTTTGCGCAAACTCCGTGGTCGCTAAACTTTCATAAATTGGTTTTGCTAAATGATTCTTTTAGAGCAATAAATGATTTATTTTCTAAGAAACTTACTTCGATACAGCTAGTAGCGGCCAATTTGGTTGTGCCCGTAACACTGGTAACGGGGGGCGAAGCACCTCGGCCTGCGGATTAGCTTTTGGTAATGGGAGCCCTGCGCTCTCAAGAGCTGCCTTCAGTTGTGTCACTTCCTCTGTCTGATTGTGGTTGAGCGCCGTCAAATACGCGAGCGAAAGCTGCAAGGGAAATTAGATCATATGACGTTGAAAAGCAACCTGCATTAAGGACAAAATCCTCTGCAGTGTGGGAAATTTATACATATAATAAAATGGAAGGAAAGTCAAAACTGTACAATGAATATTTTTTCAAAAGAATACTTGGGGTGTAATCTACAATCGATACCGAAACCAAAAATATAGGTTTTAGACTTTTTGTCTGTTTGTAATAAACTCAAAAAGTACTGCATGGATTAACTTCAAATTTGGCACGAATATTATTAAGAAGTCGGGTCAACATATAGGCTACATATTATCACGAAACTCTACCCTTAAGGGGGTAATACGGGGGTTGGAAGTTTGTATGAAAGTCCTATGTTTTTGAAGTAAGAGACTTGAAATTTAACATGTATGCTCTATAGATGGTGTAGAGGTGTACTAATAATGTATCTTTAGAAATAAACCCCTTTTGGGGTCAAAAATTATGTGCAAATACTAGCTCCAGGCGTACGAAGTCGCGGGCGGCCGCTAGTAGGTTCTAAAGAATGGATTGAGAGTTTCCTGTTCAACTGTATAATAAAACTGGGCAGACTAGTGTGAGTGAAGCAAAGCAAAGCAAACGAGCGGGCAAAACTTGGTTCGAATAGGAATTTACAGTTTCTCACTTTCTCTCTTTCTAAGGAGTTTTCAATTTTTGTCTATGATTGTAACTCGGAGAAACGCAACTAATGTTCAGGTCAAAATCTTCTGCATAGTCTGTTTGTGAAACTGTGATCAATATTATTCAATGACGAAATATTCTATATCTAGGAAGCTATGTTAAATGTAAAACAATTAGAATATTACTCATACAATTATGAATAAACACAGATGTTCATTATTGAAACTACAAAATACTGAATGTTTGACGTTGTTCAGTATTTGAATATGAAATTGTAACAGAACTCATTATGTAAAAAGATGCTTCTTCTAAATAACCTCTTTCAATTATAAGGATTTTATAAGCTTTTAAACAAGTTTCAAAACATGATTACCAATGAAAGTGATACTTTATTACTCTCTCCCTAATCACTCAGGATGATAAAGAAAACTCCGTATCCGATTCGAGCATGCTTTCCCAAGCAGCATATAGGCAACTATCATTAAGAAAGAACCTTCAAATGATCATACAACGTAAAGAAATTTACCTGTCCCGTATTCTTGAGTAGTCGAATCCTTTCCTTCACGTCTCCTAGAAGAATAGCTCCTTGGAACTGCGCAGACACATCCTTCCTTATCTCGGCTATTTTCATCATCTTACGTAGTTTCTCCAAGTTGCCAGTTATGAGATAGAGGAAAGAAAGCTTCTCGAAGTTTTTGGTTCGTTGGTAGCACATTTCCACGATCTAAAGAAAAGAGAATATTTATCAAGGCAATAAATCTTTGCAGTACAACTACGCATGGGGTTATCGGGAATTTTTAATATTTAACAAGCGGCTCCAGTACAAATAGAAGAGCGCTAACGACTGCAGATTGCTAATGCAGATAAACATAAGACAAATGTCGTAATGTGGCTTTCAAAGAACAAATGGCATTTTTAGTGACTGTGAAATAATAGGGGTGATGACGGGGTTCAGTAAACGAAATTCTATTTAGTCCGTCAGTTAGATGATCAAAACATAATGGATACGTATTTTTTCTTTGGGCAATCAACCAAAAAATGCCAAAGTTATAGAGTAGGGGCTCGTGACGTCACTTTTAAGTGAAAATTGTACCAAAACGTGACGTCATGCGACTTATATATCTCTGCAATGTTTATATTATGTGAAAACGGAAAAATACGTGTCCAATACTTTTTGATAATCTACCCGATAAACGAAGAAGAAAAAATAGTCATCATCCCTATTGCAAAGTTATAAACTATTTAATTTAACTGTGACTGCATATATGTATATGATGTGTATGCGATGCGTGCTTCATTCCGAGGCCCAAGCACGAATTTTTGAAAGCTTCGTAACGTCACAATACATTCAAGAGCAGTAGCGTAACTCAGCCGATTTCTTCAAATAGATACCTGCGACTGAGCAGAGCGCTAGGGTTGGTACCAACAAAATGTAAAACAGTACCCCTAGCACGAACCAAAATCGAATTCGTAACGTTTGCGAGTCCGAAATGTCATTGACAAATGTGTACTGATTTTTAGTTCCCGTTACGTCCAAAGCGGCGCTGCTGTTCAAATTTCCATACAAAATTTGACATTGACATTTCGGTTTGCAAACTATTCGAATTCGATAATGGTTCGTGCTAGGGGTACTGATTTGTGTAATTTTTTATTGTATGTGTATATTTACTATTGCCACGTTACGGATTCGAAACAGAGGCAGACGGCGCGGGTGGCGCGGCGCAACTAATTTAACTCTGCCAATGACAAGTCTCGACGGCGCGCGACGTGGCACTGCGTAGATTTGTCTTGCCAAGATTGGTTAGCGGCCGTGTAAATGACGTTTGTCTGTGTACGTGCGTCGATTTGGGCGCTAGTATGAAGTCAAAGTACTGCTCTTGTATGTATTGTGGTAACGTATCGCATCGTCAAAATTTCTATGAAAACTAAGCAGGTAAGCACAAACTAGCTGTTTCCATACAGAATTTGAGGATGATGATACGTTACGGAGCTGGCAAAAACTCGTGTTTGGGTCTCGGGACACTTTTGAGATTTGAATTTGGGAAGAGGCTGGTACTTATAGCACAGAGTATTCTTTTTTAAGTACCAGCAGCTATAATAGTATGTCATAACTGTGTAATACCTATGTGATAGTATAGTAAGCTATGTAATCATTATCTTTGTGGAAAAAATAAACTATTATATGTGTACCTATCTCAAATGTATTATTTGAGACCTATAATTGAAACAACAAATATTACCTGATGGTTGCCAGTTGACAAGGCTGCTTTGGCCAGTTTATCCCACGCGTCTGGCTCGTCCAAGCTCTTGGCAGCTTCCAAGGCAACTTCTGTATTACCACATTGTAAGGCCAGAGATAATCTGGTGCGCGGATCCTTCACGAAATGTAGGGCAACCTCTGGATAACCTAATGTTTAAACAAATCTAATGTTTATTTATTTCTTTAACAAAGTTCTAATTCATAATTATTCATTTATTAAACCAATGTTCTACAGCGTGTTCTGTGACGACTTTTACTACATCGTTTTAACATAACTATTAATTAAATAATAAGAATATTTTGTTATTATATCTACGGTTCATTACTTTCACTAGTTAATTCAACAAACTGTTAGGACTATTAGCTTTATGTGTGGTAACTATTTGTTTGCGACTTGTGTTGCATAATGATCTGACACTTCACAACATGACTATCGTGTCGTTTTGATAGCAGGTTGTCCTTATTAAACTCTATGGGGAGTGAAAAGAAAACACTGTTTAAGTTTACAAATAGCAAATACGAAAAGCCATGCGAAGTGCCAGCATAACAAAATAAACATTACATAATGATATTTAACCCCTCGGCTGTGTAAGTGGATGATTTCTGCTACGAGTTGAGAAAATTATATTCATGTTTTCATTTTGATCGTTTCATCATATTTAGTAAAGGTTTTTAATTTACACATCTAATATATAGATAAGTTTGTAGAGAAACTATTCAGGACTGATTTCAGACATAAATGAAGCCTGGATGTACAGTAAAATTCGAATAATAAGAGGAAAATCATCCGGAAAACTTTTTGTTTTTCGGCCGTGAAAAACGATAATCTCTTATTGAGGACAGTCGTTGATTAATCACATTAACTCTATAGAATTTAAAAAATAAAATATACTTCAAAGAATCAAACCTCACCTTTATCCTGCAGATAGGCGATGATACTTTGTCCTACAAGTTTGGCCGTTCTCACCATGTGAAGCACTTGGTCGTACTGACGTGTCAATAATGCCAGTTTGAATCTATGGAAAGCAGAAATGTGAAATGTTGACCAATAGAAAGACAGTGAGAAATAATTTTGAACCAGTAAATATTGAATTCATAGAACTTCTTATTTTCAAACATAACAACACAATAACTGAATTTTATAAATTACTAGTTGACCCCGCGTACTTCGTACGGGTTAAAATAATTTGGAAGAAATGACGGACCCGAGTCTACCGTACCAAAAGGGACGAACGTCAAATGTTTGACAGGAAAGAAGATAGAACAGTTTATATGAGAAAATTAAATTGACGTTTTTACTATCTTCCTCGCAATTTTTCTATGTTTTCTCACCTTTTAAAGCTTCCCTAGACTTCCACAAACATTTCAAGACCAAGATAAGATAAATCCGTTCAGCCGTTCTCCACTTTTAGCGAGACTAACGAACAGCAATTGATTTATATATATAATGATTTTATATAATATATAAGATTACTACACACATAACTGCTAGGGATTAAGTACGCAACGCATAATTTTCAAAAGAAAATATTTAAATGTAAATGATCCTCATTTTTCATTAAAGAATACTGCAAAAGTTTTACCTGTATTCTGTTGGGTCGATATTCAGTACTTTCGGTCGGCACTCCCTATCGAGACACACTACACGCGCACCTGCTTCGCTCGCGAGTACTTTCACCGCATAAACGGGCACATCCAACGTGCGAATGATGCCGTAATCACTACACAAAAAATGAAGAAAATCATTAGATTTTTTAAGTTCCAGAGTCAGTATATTTGTCTAATATGTATTTGTTACTCAACCATACTTAGTACTTATATGGTGAGGTGGCGTATATAAACACGGGTTAAAGCGCGAAGATGCCCAAGTAGGCCAAGGGTCTAATTGTTTGACTTCAACACCTACTTTATACATTATAGTGACATTTGAAAAACTCCACAATACAATTATTTGAGAATTGTTAAGCTTTTTGATTTGCAAGATATTGGATAAACGATAGCGCTATAGTGACATAACGATTGTATATTGTCTGCAGACATGTCTAAAGCAGGGGGCCAATCGCCCAACTCAATTGCTATGGCAAACGCTATCGCTTACGATTACATATTGTTATTCCTAGCCGTCGAAGTATTTCAAATTCCTCACGATCTTTTTCTTTAATATTATTGCTACCCATGGAAAAGAAAGAAAAAGAGCCCGAGGCATATGAAACCATTGGGCAGTCAGAAATAACAAAATGAAATGGTAAGCGATAGCGATAGCCATAGCATGCCCGTTAGACGATTGGACTCCAGATACCTTCAAAAAGTACACGATGCATTTGGTATTGAATCTAAAAGTTAGACTATATTAATCCCCAGGCCTAATGTTATTTGCACTTTAATGCCTATTTAAGTGTGATGTACCTTGTTAAGTGTGTTTCTGTTTAAGTGTTATATCTGTCATGCTATAGCTACTCACCCATCCTTACAGCAGTACTTGATATGGTTAGCAGTTGTGTATATAAACACAGGTTGAGGGGTGGAATCGTCGAAAGCTCCAGATTTGACTCTGGCCCCTTCAGTCACGCTGCATAGTTGTTCTAGCTTCTTACTACAAAGAGTGACCGTGTGCTTTCCCAGTAAGGCCACTAGGGACATATCCGCGTTCCATATGGCGTAACGGCACTTTGCTATTTTCACCTAAAGATATATGATAAAAAATAAAATTAAAAAAAAAACGAGCGAGCCTTTCAATAGTCGCGTATGATGTGTAACATTTGAAACCTCAACTTATATAACATTATGTTCTTAAATCAAATCAAATAGCGCACGCTTCCCAAACTTCCTGTTACACACTTCCGTCCCACTTCACGTAATCACTCCCACAAAGTGCACAAAAGCGAGAGCAAAGATGTTACATCATAAAGGTTCTTGTCGTAGTCTGGATTAGAACTTCCACCTTTTGCTCTACAGATGAATCCGTATATTGAAATATCTTGATTGAGATGTGGGACCTTGAGAAAAATATCAATTCATCTCGGGTAAACTTATTAGAAGAGACTTATTACTTAGAGTAGGTATTGTCGCTCTACAGATGAATGTCTATATCGATACAGCGTAATCGAGATGGGACCTTGATAATAGAAAATTCAACATAGTTTATATTGAATTCCACAGTCTAGTTTATTCTGTGTTCGAGACGGCTCAATATTTTTCCCAAAGATATAAATATCTTGCAAATAAATGCTTAAATAAAACTATGAGGTAAGACAATAAACAAATGCGTTATTATTCAAATAATTAATCAAAGGCTAGTAGGCTAAAGGGCTAGGCTATTCTGTAGCTAAGTTCATTGCATTTTTACATATTTTCTGTAACTATATTCATTATAAGTAATATTATGATGTTCAAAGTCCCATAGTAAATACAAGTAACGTTAAGTTTACTGGTACGGCAAGTATCCTTATCACTTTTACTTTTAATAGGATAAAGGAATAGGGTATTTGACAGTATTAAAAATAAAGTGCAAATTGTTAGCATCTATCTGTGTTTAGAATGAATATTGGCAGGGGATTTTACTATTTTTACAAAAAAGATAACAGTTTTCTTATCTATTGTCACGTGACCCAAAACGCTTGGGATTGGCAGAGCCTAAAATGACGTCACAAGCAAGTAAACTTCCGGTTAAAGTTTTAACAACAGTCGTGTGACGTCACACACTAGTAAGACGCCATATTGTCCAGAGACGCGTTTTCGCGGCAACTTGCAAATGGTGTTTTTGATTTGGTTATTTTTACTGAAATACACAACAGAATGATGAATATCCACTTTTTCGGGCTCCATAAACATTAGTCAATAAAGTGAGATCGTTTTCTAAAACTTGTCAAATACCCTATTCAATAGGCAAACTTTTTCAAAGTTAAATTTACTCACGCTTGCAATAGTCCTCTTCTGCTGGACGTCCAATAGTTGGACGCAATCTGGTTCTCTCAATAGAAGCATACCAGTTCCGGCGTACATAATTTCTTCGCAGGTGGGTGTCGAGATTTTCTTTGACACCTCATTCTTCAAGTTCTTTATAACCAACTGGGAATGGAAGAGTATGAATGAGGATTACAAGAAGCTAAATCATCGAGAACGAATTTCACATAAAAACCTTCCTTGAAAAATTTACAATTTGTAATGAAAACCGCATGTAAATTAATTCAGTAGCTTTTGAGATCATCGCAAACGTACGTACAGGCAGACGCGGTGAGACTTTAAAAGATGGTAACTTTAATACGAGAAATGTGATGATATTCTGATGTCTTTTTTTACCCAAATAAATGAAAGAGTAGACTTTTTACATGACTAATGTTTATAATCCTATTCCTAAACGAACAAAGAAATTTGGTGACTCATTTCTTTGTCGTAGTATTCGTAAGTGGAATTCTTTATCCGCGCACGTGTTCCCTCCTTCCTATAATCTGGGATCCTTTAAGAGAGGCGTGAAGAAGCATTTTTGCAGGCCGGCAAGGTTAGGAAGGTTGGTGTGGCAGTTTATAGCTGCTGTACCAGCTATCTATATCTATTGAGGAGCTCGATGGCGCAAGTGGTTAGCGCGTTCGGCTGCGATCGTTGAAGTTAAGCAACTTTCGCAGTGGTCGGTCATTGGATGGGTGACCAAAAATCTTCTATCTCGAGTTCCTCCGTGCTTCGGAAGGCACGTTAAGCCGTTGGTCCCGGCTGCATCTGCAGTCGTTAGCACCCACCAATCCGCACTGGGTCCGCGTGGTGGGTCATGACCCAATCCCCCTATTCCATCCATAGGAAAGCCCTGTGCCCCAGCAGTGGGGACATTAATAGGCTGATGATGATGTTCCAGCTATCTTCGCGTTTGGACTTTATCAACACTTAACATCAGGTGGGTTAGAGTCATTTGCCTACCTCGCTATAAAAAAAAATAACAAACCTGATTATTTTTCTCCAGGGCAGCGAATCTATTCCTCGCAACCCAAACGGCAGTAGTGGCCGGTCCTCTTGCCGGTTCCGAAGGCGGCGCTTCAGCGTTGTCCCTTGGCGCGCTGTACAGCTCATAAGAGCTATTCTCCCCTATACGCCAGTTCACCAATACGCACCATTCCGCGTGATTCAATGACATGCTGTGATAGAAATTTAGACCTTAACGACAAAATACCGGCCATATAATAATAACATTTAAAAATGCCGCGTGATTCAGAGACATGCTGGGATAGAGATATCTGATAGGAATCAATAAAATATCCTATCTTTGATATTTAATATACTTTCCCTCCGTGTGACAAACCCGTGGAACGAACTGTATAATTAAAGTAGGCTGTGTCTACTCCATAGAACACAGGAAGAGGTTAGAAGAGTCTAAGGGACGAGCAAGGCGCGGCCATTTCACCAATACGCACCATTCCGCGTAATTCAATGACATGCTGTGATAGAAATTTAGACCTTAACGACAAAATACTGCTCATATAATAATAACATTTTTAAATGCCGCGTGATTCAGAGACATACTGTGATAAGAGACATCGATTAAGGAATTTACATAAAACTCACCTATAAGGCTGGTGGCGTCCGCCTCCTTTGATCTGCATCACCGGTGAATCACGATTAGTCTGCATGTCCAACTTACGCAATTGTCTACAACAAAAACAAAACACTATTTAATTAAAAATTATTTTACATCGTATTACAATATATCACAAAATCAAAATTTTGCAATAATATCAAAAAGAGCGTTCAATTATTTTGTTACGTGATACCGCTAAAAGCGCCACTTTACAGTTTAGCGAGATAAACATGATGATAGTCTTCTTTAAACATTATTATAAAATGCGTATACACATTTCTATTTAAGAACCGTTAGAGCACCATGAAAACTGCATATAATTTTGATTAAAAGTTGTGATTAAAACCTTTACCTTTAAAGTCCCCTAAACAGGTGTTTAGCTATATTCAGTTCAGGAAATAATTTCAGTGAAGACAGTAGACAAAATCAGAGTGAAAATTACCAGATGAGCTACTATATAATAATAATAATAATTTTATTGCTCAACAAAAGTAGGTACATGAGAGATTGAATACCCTGATTTCTATGCTAGGATAATAACCCTGTGTTACAGAAATCAGTGTCTTCTCCCAAAGATATCTTAAAAACTACTTAGTTTACAATTAAATGTTTCGTGTCCTGAATGTGTGTGTGTGTGTTTTACTACATTTTTACTGGGTATTACGTTAAGAAAATGTTATATAAAATGAATATATATTATACGTTATATATATACATAAATAATTAAATCAACACATAATTCTGCTATTTTAAGATAGATTTTTACATTTTAGTGAAACAGAACCTAAATGTAACGTAATGTAATATTTAGTAATGTTGAAATAGTACATTAAAACAATACTTTAAAATGTTTACTTAATAAACATCTCAGTTTTAATATAATCTAATGTTAATAACCATTTTCAAATTTTAGACTTGGCTTCTCAAAGACTAAGCGAAAAAATATCTAATTGTTTATTTAATTTATTATAAAGTGTTCCAGCCAGATAACTACTTTGGCGTCTAGCAGTAGCAGTACGGTACCGCACCATCTTGCACACATTAGGTAAAGTTCGTTTACCCAAGTATAAATTTGGATCGTATGGGGTGATCTTGTGTTGTTTGCTGATAAGTTGTAAAATATACTGTTGCCTCACTGTTAGTATATCACATCTGTCAGATAATAATTTTGTAGAAAATCTAAAAGGACTAAATGTCATTACTTTAAGAATTGATCTTTGAGCTCTCTCAAGTTCCAGCATGTGAGTCTTACAGGCACCTCCCCATACTCTAATGCTATATCCTAGAGCTATATACAGTAAATGTCTAGATGCTGAAAACATAGTTTACTCAATTATAACCTGTTTTATGAGTCTCCGATATTTCGGCACTGTTGCAAGCGCCATGATCACGGAGTAACATGCACTTACAAAACAAGGTACATGGTAACAATACCGTTAATAGCTATAATGTTGGTGACTATGAAAGTTTAAAACAATATGTCTTAACATTGTATTAGTTACTCGATTAATACCTGTCTTTGATGTAGAACAGCATATTGTTGTGGACCGCATACGCGGGCCTCTCACGTTGCAGCTTGAACAATATCATGCCGGCGTCGTGGCCCGCCGCGAACAGATTCAAACTGGGATGCGACGCTAACACCCAGTACCTTTATAAAAATAAGTTAAAAAAAGGTTTAATTACGATAATTAAACACAGACATTAGTCTATGCGTATTTTTCTCAACAAACCCTTTCGTTTTATCATGGGAGTGCACAAAACATTACCAGTCCGCCATATTGGATTTAGAATGATGTCATCCAAACAAAACGTGCACGCAAAATTTCATCTCTAATTCGTCAAGGATAAAAGCTTGAAAATTTAATTTGTATCGAAATAAAATACATTATAAGTTAAATGGCTACAAGAAGGCGTCTTTATATAAAAGTAGGTGTCGGCTATTGGCCGCAATTCGATCTTTTTATTCTTTGCAAAAGAGTCATTCTGTGTGTTTCGTACGCATGGTAGTGTGTGTAATATTTATTTTATGAATTTAATGTATTTCAACTGCATTACTAAATAAAATTATATTCTTTCTGCATTCCTTCTCCCTATAAACATTCATATTGCAACATTTCACACTCTCCCGTAAACAAAATGCCAATTGAACCAAATAACTGAAACATTCCATTACCAACCCTATACACAGGTGAAAGAAAGCTTACCTCTCATGCTCCCTTCGGAACGTGTGCAAACAAGTCCTCTTGGTCATATCCCATACTCGGATGGATTTGTCCTCGCTATTGGAGAGTATGAGTTCGTGTCGAGCGTGGAATAGAACGCACGATACGTTGTTATAGTGCCCGCGGCACGTGTCCACTTCCCATGCCTACGAATATGACATAAAATATAAAAAAATAGTATACTTTAACATAACTACCACAGACATTAAGAGTAGTAGTAGAGACTTTGGTCTCCGTGAAATAATATTTTTAGTGGTCTTGTATTTCTGTCGGTAAAGTTCATTGGCTCCACAGGGCAGCCCCACTTAAATCCGTATTTCTCAATTTTAGTTTTAAAATCGAAATTGCCAAAGACGGGCACGTCATTGTGACGTCACGTACGGATGACAAATTAGGTGCAAACTTGAATCGCGACGTTTGGGGGCGTGTCGTGTCACACGTAGTAGTGTAGTATTGCTGCGTAAGTTTGGCACAAACGGTTGCCTTGCATGTAGTATCTAGTAAGGGTACTATATGCTGTATTTGGACAAGTATTAAAACAAACACCTACCTTTGCATCGTTCATTCGCCACAGCTTCACTTGTCTGTCGTCCGCGGCAGACACTATGAGCGGCAATGTTGAGTGGAATGAGGCCCAATTGACGCCGCGGTCGTGGCCTTCTAGCACATGTTTCACTACAGCATCAGCCTGAACAAATCATTTTTATTTAAAAAAGGGTAGTGAACATCATTAATAAGCATTTTTCAAGCTACATAATAATAAGAGTAATGAGACAAGGAAGACCACAAAATTGAGGGTTCAACACTAGAAGGAAACGTGGAAGATCACTCAAAAGGTGGTCAGATGTTATAAGAACAGCAGCAGGAACTTTCTGGCTGAGAGTGGCTAGAGACTGGCCTGAGTGGCAGAACCTGAAGAAGGCCTATATGTCAGCAGAACACACTGATGGGATTAATGATGTGTATTAGCTTTTAAGTATTTTAAATGTACCTCCATCAGATATAAAGGCTTTTGATTTTGAATAATCATTGTTGTTTTAAAGAAATGGGATGAACCATCTCACAAATGAAATGCTTTTAACTGCATAATGAAGCTTCTGTATGCTTAATATCACTCCTCATGAGTCTAACTAGGTAATCCAGGAATAGCCAGTAATGATTTAATACAAAACCAAGATTTTGAAATAACAATATTAATTAAATAACCAGCAATGGAAACAGTGAAGATGGAAACAGAAGTTTAGTAGAAACCCAGTTTATAAAAGAGTCAAGAACACCAAAGAGTGAAAATGGATACCAAATGTCCTAAGGCAGGTGACACCCAAAATCTACTACATTTTCACTAACATATACCTGGCCGAAGAGATCTGTCGCTTGTGGATTCCTCAAATGTTCAGCTAAGCCGGCTGGACCTGGTGCCACACTCTTCTTCCGTAGCCCTGAGAAGTCCCACACTCGAACTGACTGGTCTAGGGAAGCAGAGACCAATAAGTCTTCTGTTGGATGGAATTGCGCGCACATAACATAGTGATTATGGCCAGTGAGGACACTGATGCATTGACGAGACTGCCAATTCCATATTCTTATAGTCTGAAAAAAGTGGGATACAAATTAATGGTGATGTCATGATTAGGTGCTTATCACACAAATCGCAGTTTAATATCAATGAAAAAAGCTATATAGAATGGATTTCCACCATAACCTCGTTCCTCACCCGAACGCGAGGTATGCGTCACGCATTTCCCTAACATTAAGAAGGACTAACTTATTGCAGTGTAAGTCAAGACGGGACTCAATTGTTCAATGATATTGATGACTTTTATTCACTTTGCTATAATTAATAAAAAATTAAATTCGCAATCTGTTTCATACAGTTCTGTTGATTATGATTATATATATTACTTAAGTCATGAGTCATATCATAAGATACATTACATTTACGATTTATTCGTGTCACTTAACTGATCGACTTTTAAATAATAAGGAAAAACTGATCAACTTTTCAGAATACAATTCAAAAACCTAGGATTCATTCTATTTTTAGTTGAACCATATAAAAATAAATGATGGCAAATTACCTGATCATCTGAAGCACTCAAGATCCAAGGGTATTCATGGTGAAAGAAAGTTGTGCGTATATAATCCAAATGTCCTAACAAGGTGAAGAGGCATCTTCTCTGTTTGTAATTCCATACCTTGACAAAGAAAGAAAGAGTTCATAATATTCGTCTATGTTCCACAAATCTTCAGTTGAATAAAATAATTGTTCACAAATTATGGCACAAAAGTAAATAGAACAATAAAAAAACAGCAGATATTTCTAATTTGACTGACTACATCAAGATCTTTGTATATTTGATAAAAAAAAATTAAGCTTTTTTTATACAAATAATGGATATCTAATATATAAAATTCTTGTGTCGCAGTGTTTGTGGTTAAACTTCTCCGAAACGGCTTTTCCGATTCTCATGAAATTTTGTGTGCATATTGGGTAGGTCTGAGAATCGGACAACATCTATTTTTCTTCCCCATAAATGTTAAGGGTAATCCACCCCTAAATATTTTTTTTTCAATTTTAGATATTTTTTTTAGTTTTCTACCCCTTGTTAGTGTTTTGCTGGATCTGGACCAGGCCACATGCTTCGCATTCCAGTCCATGTAGGAAGGGAATCTATTTGTTTACTATGTGGGTAAGCATTGTTGTTAACAGACTCATAACATGGGTCTTCTGTTACTTCTGCTGTGTTGTATATATATTTCATTTGTTTTACAGCTCCATTATTAGGATTGGGTTCTAAATTTAGAAAGAAAGTAGATAATGGGATCCTATCTGGTCCATATTTAGCATTGACAATATCACCTTTAGCTATATTTCCTTTAGTCTCTTTAGCTTCCTTTATAGCACTTATAGGAGTACTGTGATATAAGTTCTTAATCACAATTCTAGGGTCTTTAATTTTTCTTATAAAAGTGTGTCTAATAAGCTTATGCTCTCTCAATTATCAACTCAAAAAATATCAGTCTCTAAAACTTCACGCCATAGAATGAATTAACATTATAGGTATATTGTTAATTCATTCTATGGCGGAACAGCTCTGTCATATCCAATATTTTTGTATTGCATAAGAAATGAATAAGAATACTAGCAAATATACACCAAACAGAATCTTCTCATAAAGTTCCTAATATGTAATACATATTATAGCTTGGCAGAGTTATTTGATGATAAGATATAGCACAATGACAATATTATATATAACTATTATAGGTAATAAACTTAGGAACAAATTGTACCATACAATAATACCACATCTATACTTATAATAAAACTGTAGAGGTCAATTCTGTACATGAAATATATTTTCAAAATAACTATCAGGGGGTGATTAGTGATCGATACTGATGCCAAAAATGCAATCAGTAAAATTTTTGTCTGTCTGTCTGTCTGTGTGTATGTTCCTTATAGAAACAAAAACTACTCGATGGATTTTAACGAAACTTGGTACAATTATTCTTCATACTCCTGGGCAGGTTATAGTATACTTTTCATCACGCTACAATCAAAAGGAGCAGAGTAGTGAAGGGAAATGTTGGGAAAACGGGAGAAGTTACTCCATTTTTTAAGCTTCCGTCGCGTGTGCAGCCTTAATGGTTAAAGTCACATAGAAATCATGTATGACGGAAATATTCTACATAAAATTGTCTAAAAAATATATTGCAACAGCATATGTCTATCTTATATGGTTGACTCACAATAACACGTGTAACTCCTGATAGCTTAGCAGTTCGGAGCATTCTGATTATATTTGTTTACTCTTACGTTTATAATACTCTCACTCATCCTTAATTTAATAAAATTAACATTATTACCTATTCAATAAAAAAATAATCATAGAAAAAGAATTAAATAAATAAATTCATTGTGTACAATACACGCATGAGAACAAAAAGTATAGTCTTCACTACAGCTCTACACCTAAGCGAAGCGAGGGCGGGCCACTAGTTATATATAAAGCTGTTATTTTTATGTAATGCAACTTATTATAATTATAATTTCAACATTATCAACATATTAATAAGGTAATAAGTAAAAAAATTGCATTTTTTGCCCCTTATGTTTGCTGTGCTCTGACAGGATGTCACAATCATGTATTATAGAATCAGTAGCATCTTATAACTTGTGATTTGCAAATAAATAAACTTGTATATTGGTAAGCTTGAAGCTCTTTTTGTATGAGTAGATCAATCTACCTGGATTATAGTTTACTTATTAATATTACCTTAAAATTAAATGGGAAAATTCAAATGAATGTAAATCGCATGAGCATAACGAACAAATTAGGTGGGCAGATACAGCAGCCAGTGATGTGCCAAAAAAATTTCGCTACGCAAATCCCATTTGCAAAAGTTGGATACTTATAAGGTTTGCCATAGCCATTATGAAATTGTTTAATTTCCAAATCTGATGAGATTGTCATACAAATTAAGGTTAGGTTTTTAAGATTTTTCAAAATTCATATCTTAAAAACTAAGCTTTTCTTTTCTGTGAGAGTGATAACCACCCCCAATGCGAAAACCAGGGGGTAATATTCTAAATCTCTTCCTTTTGAGATATTCATTTTGTTGAATCTGTAGACATTACCATCTATTTTTATGTGCATTGTACTTTTATACTGAATAATGACATATTATACATATATTAACAAATACTCATATTGAAAATATAAAACAACAGCCCTTGACAAAACACAATTAACATACATAAAGAGCGTGAACTATGTCGGCAAATAATTATTATAGTAAATACTTTCATTTATTTTTATGTTAATGAATTGGCACACTCAGTGAATACCAATATACCAACAACTTTAATGAGTATGATGCAATTTATTTAATAAAATCGAAAATCTAAAGCTTGATAACAGTGACAACATGGAATTGAAGAGCGGAAATAGCATAGACGTGTACCAAATGACGAAAACATGGCGAAAGATGAATTAATGTTATCACTGGTTTCGATATCATACCTTGATTTTATAGTCATCTCCTCCGGACACGAATAAAGGTTGTTGAATGTGGAAGCAAATGCCACGTACAGGACCATCGTGCTCATCGAATTTCTCCAGTAAAGTACACATACGGTAATCCCATAACTGGATAACACCATTGTGTAAACTTGCCAAAACCCATGGTCGCTTGGCATGAAAAGATATTCCTTTTACACGCGCAGATTTTGTTTCAAATTTGGTCAGCATTTCTAGCCAAATAAATACCGATTCTTGGAGAAATTCACATAAAACACCACCATTCAAACGTAGATTTCCAGTTGCCAAAAGTCAATCCAACCGGCTGACGTGACACGTTTCCAAGCAGAAGTTATATTCCTTTATTGTTCAAAAAAATCCAAAATCGTTTAGTATTAAATACTCAGCCTACGTTTCGTTTCAACTTAACAGCAAACGTTTGGTAGATGATACTTTTGAATTGCACTAGAACATTCCCAAATAATGTTACCATAATTTATAATTATTATTTCAATGCCGGCACTTCACTAGGCTAATACACAAATTAATGTCTTTGTACATTTTGTAAACTCGACATAAATCTAATCTCTTCATTCCTGAAAGCATGATAAGGACAGACTGTGAGTAAGTTTATAGCCAGACAATAGGTATTTTTGACTAAAATAGGACAAATAACAATCCATCATCCAAAGTCTACCAAACCAACTGTAGCCTCTGACTACTGAACCTATGGAGATGGCATAACTACAAATAAAACGTGTAAACCTAAAGTTACTATGTAGCTACCAAGGCTGCCCCATTGTTTATTGATATGTTCATAAACACAAGTAATTTTATGACGATATTTCAATACTCTATAAAAGTGATTTTTGACATTGGGGTTTTTCTAATATTGGTGGCATATCACACAATACAAATACTGTTGTGTTTGTTACCTCTCCTGCTAAACGGCTGGAAAGATTTTAATGAATAGGTGTCTATTTTGTTAACAACGCCACGTGAATACCTATGATGTAAGTCCTCATATAAACAAAATACATGCAGGTGAAATAGATAGCAGCTGATAAAAAAGATGCCGATAAAAAAAAATAAAAAGAGTTTGTCTATAAAGTCGTGACATGAATGTTTGAGGAACTAACATTATTCATGTGTCTGGAAACACCAAACTTATGTACATCAGCTGTCATCGAGTTTCAGTTGTGGAACAGTTTTCCTTTTGTATTTTTTATTGTTGAAGTTATACTTCTTTAGCCACGTTATGAAAAAATTATGAGAGTGAAATTTTAAGATGCGCGCGCATCACTGTAATACAAAATTAACATAATGAAGTTAGCCGCGGGCGCGTTATGAAAAAATGATGAGAGTGAAATTTTAAGATGCGCGCGCAACACTGTAACAGAAAAGTAACACCATGAAGTCGGCCGCTAAACCGCACATTACTCGTAAGTCTCGAAAAAAAGCTTCCAACAAAATAGTAATAGGATCTCTTAGTCGCATATGTTGGGACGCTCGTCGCCTCTGATCACTGTTTTCATATTTATAATATTTATCCACATGTTTCTAGTTTCTATATTCTTAACACGTGTTATAATGTTATACAAATGCGAAATTTATATGTGCTAATAAATTTTATTTAGTAGTGATTTAAATTGAATATTTTGATTATTTATTAAATTTTTCAAATTAAAACTGAACTTTATTGACTGCGTTGACTATCCTTTTCCAATCCTTTTATTATCTTATTGTAATTAATTATCTGCATGCAATTAAAAACTATTTTTTAATAATTCCAAAAAGAAGTATAACTTCTCACGCGCGTACTTAAGTACACGCACCCATATATTATTGGATTAAACTGTAATAAATTAAGACGAAACTAAGCTGAAAGGTATAAAATTGAGTAAAGTAAATCGGAGTGGCACGCGGGAAGTGATTTTTAAAGTTTTCCAGCGATGTTTCGAAGACTAACAAGCTGGGCGAATTTTGTGGGATTTGGATGATGTTTATGGGCGAACAGCATCTATGACGGGTATGTAATCGTGTAACTATTTGTTTGTAATCTGCCTGAAGTTACAAATTTACTCAATTTACGATTTTGAGACCAAAAAAGGCATTGGTGGTTTTCCAATTACAAAGCATAATGCGACTCAGTGGCGCACAATGCCGAATTATGCTGATGCTTAATTGGAACGTGAATCAGTTTCACCTCTCATCACCAGCAGAGTGCGCTAAGTTCAGTGTTGAAAAAAAAAGTCAATGTTTGTACCTTCATCCATATTTATATTTAATTTTTAACATCGTTTGAATTAACTTTGATTATTTAAAAAAACTATGATGAAACGAAAGTTTTAATAATTTCTCACCAATAAATAATATTACTAACGATAACATATAAATAAAACATTTCGATCAATGCCAACTTAAAGAAAAAACACTTGTTAATTTTCTGTCTCTGAGTTGGTACGATTGCACGCATCACACGAAAGCATTACTTTTGAGAGTGCTCAATTGTGCGAAGCGTTGCTGTAGTTGAAACACTCAACGTTAAGCATTATGCCGCATAATGCGCTATAATTCTGTAATTGGAAAGCTTCCATTGTTTACATTGCACATTTTTAGGTTAGATCATAGAGAAAAGTAAATATACCAAAAGGAAGGTTAGATTGACATTGTAAATAGGAAGTGGTATCGATTCCGACATGATTCTCTAAACCTAAACTTAAATTTGTCAACAGTGTATCCTTGTCATTAAACATACAGAACGAAAAGGAGAGACTGGCGTTAAATTTAGTTTTAAGTTTAGAGAATCAAGCCAGAATCGACACCAATATTGTAGTACGACCATTTATTTTGATACGTTATTATGGTTCAACTCGTTCAGGTTTTCTACCAATTTTGAATTAATTGCTTCATGTCAATAAGTTATTGTCTCTATTCCGTTACATATTTTATTACTTTTTTCAGGAAAATCAGAGAGTCGGATAGTCAACGAAGGTTTTAAGAATGATGGAAAGTTTGAAACTCCTGGGAAAACTCAGGCAAGGCCGACCAAAGAAAGAAATGGTCACATAAAAAACCATGGCCAGATGCTTTTAGTGGAAACACCTATCACTAATTTTACTAACTGCACATTTACAAATTGTTTCTCTAAATAAACTTTTTATATACTATAAAATGATTTTTAGTATTATTTTCTTAACAAGTGTGTTAAAAAACGTCGTATGATGATACGTGTGTATTGATGATTACCTAACGGCTCTGGTCTCAATGGCACCTCTGCGGTAATCACCAACATTACACACTTTTACACTATAAAGTACTATTTTATCTATAATAATTTTTTTCTGATTCAATTAAATATGCTTGGCTAAACTTTTTATAAGCATAGGTACCTATTATATATAAAAAAGAAACAAAATACGACTGTATAGCGTCTCTTATTAATTACCTATTTTACTTGAATGAACTGCTAGTATCAAAATCATTTTGGTCCGACTGTATTGGGTTGCTACATGCATACTAGTGGTGCCATCATTTAATGTCACGACTTTATAGACAAACTGTAAGTATAATTTTAGACTGAATGTTGATATATTTTTTAAATGTAATTGGGGTATTCTTAAGGATATCACCTCATTACAATACAAAATATTGCCCCGACGGCATTAAAAATAAACTCCTACTCGAAAGAGAGTACATAGTTATTTTTAACTTTATAGTGTGCGTGTATCGTGTTTTTTATAGTATTTTAAGTTTTGTAAGTGCTATTAAATTTTTAAAATTTTCATTATAAAAGTAATACAATTATTTTCTAGTATTTTTCATGTATTACAGAAATAAGTGCTATTATACTTCAATAAAACAAAGAGCAACTGTTCATCAATTTTTTAATTATATTTAAACAAATTTTAACTAGGAAAAACTCAAGAATATATTCTGGCACCTTTGTTAAGATGTATCAATGGTAGCTTTCCAATTACAGAGCATAATGCGACTCAGTGGCGCACAATCCCGAATTATGCTGATGCATAATGGACAAGAAATCTGCAAAATTTTCCCACGAGGGGCGCTGTAATCGCTTGACCCAAAACTTCTATCAAATACATACTTATTAGCTTATTTTAATTTACTGACCTTCCTCCTTTTTTATTTTATTAAATAGATAGATATTAAATTATTTTTTGTAATAATGAATAGTTTATAATAATAAAAAAGGATTTTTGATAACAAAAATCTATTTTTGAGAACTTGTTTTACCAACGTACCATAAGTAAGTAGTGGCGGTAGGCGCCATTCTCAGATCTTTTCTTTATTTGCGTGGGTTAAATCAATACAAGTTTAATCCAATCGCAGTTAACGTTAAGTTTACCAAGAGCAAATACGAATTTACAAGTGAAGTGCCGGCATGATAGAAAGGAAACAGAATCTTTGGATTACATATCTATGGTTTCGGGTTTTTCTATTATGGCGGCACTTTACTAGGGATGATCGATATTAGAAAAACATCGATGTTAACATCGAAGCAAAAGTATTGATGTACGATAAATATCGATAGAAAAACATCGATATGTCTAAAACATCGATGTTTTTGGAAACAAATCAAACTGTCTATTATATTTATGAAATATTTTAATTATTACATAGGGTGTCTCAGTAAGAGTGTACTTTTTAATATTAAAATATAAACACGTATTTTTTGAGAGAGATGTAATGTTTTTATTGGATTCTAAAGTACATTATGTTCTGATTAAACATGCAATAAAAAATTCGGCAAAAGGCGCCCACGGCTCTGATGACAGGCCATTTTAAAGCGCTCCACTTTCAATAATGAGAGTAAACGTAGGTGTACGTGTATGTCATTGAAGTTCTCTTGAGAAATGAAAACAAACTTATTCGTACATAGGGCTTTGGGCTTAATCCGATTATTTTGATCAGTGTCATCTAGTGGAAAATATGTATTTGTAACTAGATAGTCATCTGCTTATGACTATGCCACATTTACTTGAAGCTACTACACCTAATGTACGCTAGACGGCGCTCAAAAGAATAATTGACGTTTCCTATATTTTATTCTAGTAACATCGATGTTTCGATGATATCGAAGTCAACCCATCAATGTTAAAACATCGATGTTTTCCAGTTCAACATCGATGTTCATTCAACATCGATGAATATCGAGCATCCCTACACTTTACGTGTATTTGTTTAAGCTGTCATTTTGCCAGCAGTTTGTCCTTGTCATGAAAAGGAGAGACCGTTACTGTTGTCATGTAAAAATATCAAATGCCAATGAATATTAACAGACATAATCTTAGTAATCTGTGATATTACCATTTTATTATGAACAGTACAACATTGCCGAAAAGTGCTATTATTTATTAATTCTACAGCATTCTGAAGACCTAAACCCAAAAACCAGTTTATTGATAGTCGAACTTTATTGTCACACTTGGACGCAAAATATTGTAAACATAACCTCTTAGTGTTGAATTCGTTTTGTTGAAGAAATGGATAAAGAAAATGCAAAAGGCATAGGGAAAATATGCATACCTGGCATGCGTTTGAGTTTATCAAACAAAGAATTTATATCAGGACCAGGTACATATGAGTTAAAAGGTTATATTTACGCTACTCTAGCTGGTATTCTAAAAATGGAAGCAGACGAAAAAACTAAGGTAAATATTTGGATATTTTATTATCTTTTTGCTAAATAGCCACATTGTACCTCATACATTGTTATTCCATCAACTACTTTAATATTGCTTAAGTACACAATCTTTTTTGTTTTCAGGCTACAATGGTCTCGGTTGAAAGTCCCAGAACACCGAGTGTTCTTCCTAAAGCTGGAGATATAGTAACAGCTAAAGTGACAGTAGTTAACTCCCGTATGGTTCAATGTATGATACTCTGTGTGGGATCTTCAATCTTAGCGCGACCATACAAAGGCATCTTAAAGAAAGAAGACATAAAATCTACCGACAAGGATCGTATAGACCCTTACAAATGCTTTAGGCCTAGCGATGTTATACTGGCCAGAGTTGTATCCTTTACAAAAATATCCTCAGTTTTATAAGTGAAGATAAAATGATTAGGGGAATAAAGTAAAAATTCTTTTTTTAAATCACTTAATAACACTAATATTGAATAAAAGTTACGGGCACAAATATTTTACAACACGTAGGGGCTCAAAATACAACAATATAGGTACATAAAAAGCAAACCCGTATCTAAACCAAGTGATATAAAATTAAATACTAAATAGCAGTCTTTTCCTAGTCCCCATTTTTTTCAAATATTTAGTCTGTTAAACACTATTTAGTTCTTATGTTTTAACTCAGTTGTGTGAGTGAGTGGTATGAAACAATTATTATTAAATGAAACCCCTTTTGAAATGACTTTCAATTGTGCTTTTTAATATTTTTATATTTTTCCCAATGTTTTGGATTCTTAAAGGCTCCATTCTCACGACAATGTTTATCAATTCTGACTACCTAGCTACCTTTGAAAAACTTATAAATTACAATGTTATGTACATTTTAAATAGGTTGGAATTATTTATGCTTCAATATAGCTAAGAATTATAAACAATAACTACAATATTAATTGCAGTTGTTAGCATCCACCAAACCACTGGGCCCACGTGGTTCATAGCCCAATCTCCCTATTCCATCCATAGGGAAGGCTTGTGCCCCAGCAGTGGGACATTAATAGGCTGGTGATGAAAATGAATAACAATATTGAATGCCTTAACTATCTATTCAGCTACCAATGACTGAAATACACTGGTACCACTTATCAACAGCTGAAAATGAGCTTGGTGTTGTGATTGCTGTAGCCGAAGGTTCACCACAAGGAGTCAGCATGGTGCCAATAAGTTGGTCTGAGATGCAATGCCCCAAAACACTTGTCAAGGAACCAAGAAAAGTGGCTAGAGTAATACCAGAAAATATCAACCAAACAATGTTTCAAGAGAGCAAAGGAGATACTGAACAAAACAGTAAATAGCAATTATATTAAAAATACTTTGGATAATATAACACTAATGGTTTTTTTTATTTGACACAGCCTTACTACCCGCAAAACAGAAAGAGGTTATTTTTACCCGACTGCGTAATGTAACATGGATACAGGGTATAGTGTTTGGTTATATAGGTATTCAGTGCTTTCAAGTAACTTTTCTTTTACCTCAGCTACAGAAAGAGAACCTAGTCAAAGACCTTTATTTTACAAATAAACAGCTACAGGTCAATTTACCATAAAAGGACAGTTCTAAATAGATCATGATAAGAGTTATGGTTGAAGATACTGTTTTGTGTAACTCGAGCTGTCGGCACCTATGTATGTCTGGTGAGCTCTTCTTTCCCTCATTATCCTAGAAATCCCAATCCCAGCTATTGTATTGAAATCGTGTGCTGACGCGCCTTCACTCTCAAAGTGCTGCTGGCATAGTCCCTTCATAGAAGGTAGCACTAGTGCACCCCATCCCTAACAAAGGTTTCGTTCAGACCCATCAAACTACAGACCTATTGCTGTTACCTCTGCTTTCTAATGTAATGGAGCGCATCATCAATCAGCTCCTTGGTTATCTTGAGGGACACCAGATAATCAGTGACCATCAATAAGGCTTTCGCCGTGGTCGATCGGCGGGTGACGTATTGCTTTACCTTACTCACCGATGGGCAGAGGCTATCGGGAGCAAAGGTGCGGCACTTGCTGTCAGCCTTGATATCGCTAAGACGTTTAATCGGGTCTGGCACAGGGCACTCCTGTTGAAGCTTCCATCATATTGGCACTCCGATGGGACATGGATTGCCAGCTATTTGTCAGAACGCAGCATACGAGTTGTAGTTGACGGCATCTCTTCTGACACTGAATCCATATATGCTGGCATCCCACAAGGATCAGTTCTAAAGCCCACGCTGTTCATTTTGCATATCAATTATGTGTTGTTAACTAACAACAGCATTCATTGCTATGCGGATGTCAACTTTTGGTCGACCAAATATCCCTCGGATCGCTATGATTCCATCCGAGGGATGGGTGGGTTCTTTCGCCACTTCTGTGGAACCTCGTAGTTGACGACCTGCTGACCAAGCTAAACTCGAACCACTACTACACCATAGGGTATGCAGATGACATTTGTACCCTAGGCACCCGGACCCGCACCAGCATTACCTGTAACACCATGAAAGGTGCTTGGAAACTGGTTGAATGCTGGTGCAGGAAATACGACCTCACAGTTAATCTAACTAAAACAGAGCTGGTAATATTTACAACCAAACGTGACGTAGGTGCTTTCAACTTGCCGAAGCTGTTTGGTATCACACTACAACTGTCTAAGGAGGTAAAGTATCTAGGCCTTATACTAGACAGTAACTAAACTGGAGTAACCATGTCGAACACAAAATCAAGACAGCCAGCGTAAGGGTGCGGCCAGAGTGCATTCAGATTCAGATTCAGATTTCGAAAACAAGCGCGAGAAATAAACAGTGTAGTCGAAGGGTACGGCCAGATTGCACTCCTGATTCAGATTCAGATTCAGACTCAGAAAACAAAACGCGAGAAAAGGCAGGCAACCAGCTTAGACTACACTGTTTATTTCTCGCGCTTGTTTTCAGAATCTGAATCTGAGTGCACTCTGGCCGCACCCTGGCCGTATACAGAAAGAAAGCCGAAAGCCGATCGGCGCCTATTGACGCTGATCCTTTTTCTATGGACCGGCGCTGATAAGCGCCGATCGGCGCCGTTTCGAATAATAAATAATTTGTATTTGAATTATTATCCTTAGATTAAATCAATCTAAGTTATAATCTTTTTATAAATCTAATAACTTTATCTTTTATTAACTAAGCGCTAAAATTATTTGTTTCGTACTTACCGAATGGTGACAACAAGTCTTTCTTCTGGAAGGATTGGTTGTTTATGCCAATTGCCCCAATTTTTCATCAAACGGTTTTTCACTAAATCCAAAATGTAATAAAATGTTTCTTGAATCATTCTTGTATATGTATAAAATCTTTGTTCATCAAATTTAATTTTTTTTTACAAATAAATGATGGTATTCTCCGAAACGTTTCTCTATTTATAGGATGTATAGCTGTTTTTCGCATTTTTAAATAAATATTTTCTAACAAAACCAAATCATCGTCCGATGAGTCCGACATTTTGCTTGATCTGCTTTAATCGGCTTCCTTTATGTAGAAAGGATCGGCGCCGATCGGCTTTCTTTCTGTATACGGCCTAACACTTTGGCAATGCCGTCAAATGTTAGGGAAGCGTTGGGGTCTTGCACCAAAACTGTTCCTATGGTTATATTACACAGTCATACGACCAATGGTAAGTTATGGCGCCATCATATGGTGGCCGAGGTCTATCCGGACTACTTGTGTCAACAAACTACAAATCTTCCAGCGGCAGATATGCATCGCGGTGACCGGGTGCATGAGTACGGCTCCAACCGCAGCACTGGAAGTTCTTTTAAACATCACACCGCTCCATATCTACATAAGACAGGAAGCGGCTAAAACAGCGTTGAGACTACAAAAGTTTGGACTGTTAAGGTTCGAAAGAGCATGGCATCTCAACGGTATTCTGAATGAATGGGTAAGCACTCCGCTCATAGATGCGGCATGTGACAAAATAATACCCGCCTTCATATCTGACAAAAAGTACAGAATACATCTACTGAATGACAACGATCCAAAGGTAACACACAAGGCTCTCATGATCTACACCGACGGCTCTAAAACCTCATCGGGCACGGTCACGGGTGTTTTCTCTGAGGACCTCAATATACACATCGCTTTCCCCTTAAGCCCGTACACACAGTTTGCCAAGCTAAATGTATGGGCATCACACTGGCGGCAACAGCGATCCTTTCAAGAAAGGTAACAGGTCAGGAAATACGAATATTGTCCGACAGCAAATCAGTCCTACAAGCTCTAGATGCCTGTTAAGTCAAATCGACCCTCATACAAGAATGCCACCAAACCTTAAACAAGGTAGGGTCAAGCAATTCTATTACCATCCAATGGATCAAGGGACACAGTGGATCACGCGGAAATGACGCTGCGGATGAGCTGGCCCGGAAGGGATCCGACGACCCCAACAGGCCCCGAACCAATCGTCCCGATACCGGTAAGCTGTCTCGTCAATGAAATCCGCGAGCACACAGCCGCACTACACCAGTAACACTGGCTCGACCTGGAAATGTGCAGGCAGACCAAGCTCGCTTTGCCACGCGTGAACACTGCCTTCAGCGTTCTCCCTCTCCTACAGCTAAGCAAACCTACATTGCGCATGGTAACAGGTGGTATTATTACTGGACATGCACATTTTAACAGACATCTTTTCAACTTAGGTGTCACGGACACAGGGGCGGATCTACTTAAAGGCTTTTTGGGCTGCAGCCCAGGGCCCCGCGAATACTGACGGCCCCCAACCGAACTGAAACCAATAGACGATATTGTCAATAATAAAAATTATCTAGAATTAAAAAAAAACCGATCATAAAGTTGGCAACATTTCGATCAATCAACCCGTGTGTGCATCTATGAAACGGAACGGGGAATTCCCTGTCCCTTTTCTTACGGTCGGTGTATTCCGTGTACTGTCTATTATTGGGGACTTCCCTCCGCTCATCGCCCGACGCAATTTTGTTATTTTTCCGCACTTCTGCTATCGTCGACTATATTAACGAATTTACTTTGTTATTGTTAGAAATGTGTTAAGTGCGTGTGTTTAGTTTACTAAGTGATAGATAACTTAAAAGTTATAAGGACCGGACCTTTATTTTAATTTACTAAAATAGAAAGTATTCAGCATAACTAGACTTCCTGCTTTTAAAAGGCAGTAGGTAAGAAAAAGAATTACCTATAAAACATAACTTTTTTATTTATATTTCAGTTTTCAAAACTAAATAAATCGAACTCGTTCGATATTTAATGATAATTTGTGAATTGCTACACTCATTACAAAGTAGGTATTAAAATTAAAAGCTCTATCCAGTTCTTTTTTTAATTTCAGAAAAATATGTTATTTTACAATATGCCTGCTAGAAAATGTAAAAGTGGAGCTGAAACAAAAGAAAAAGCAAATATTCAATTTTATTTTTAAATCACAACATATAAACGCGAATGAAATAGCTATAAATCCATTAAAAAACGTAAAGAAAGGTATTTTATGCGAAGAGAATCTAACCAAAGGAAGCAAAAAATCGCAAAACAAGATTTTGAAAACCAGAAAAAAAATACCAAAGATGAAAATGTGCAATATCTTGACTTCCAGCAACCCTCTGGTTCCTCTGTAAACGAAATTGGTGTTCAGCAAAAGGAAGGTAATACCGATACCAAAGTGGAAAGAAATTTAGAAATATTAAGTTTGTGTTTGAGACATAATGTGTGAGTTGACGTGGGCTTGTGGCCAGATTTGCTAATTAATAATGATTTTATTAATTTCGTCCTCTCACATGAAATGACTGACTTTCAAAATAAAGATTCGAAGAATATATTATTATAGTCAGCTTCAATGAAGAAATATATAAAAACAAAACAGATATTTTTTAAAAAGGTATTTCACTAGAAAATTGAAAAATGGCCAATTACTGGAAAGATCTTGGTTAAAAGGGTTGGTACTGTTTTATGTGTGACTTGCAAACTGTTTTCTTTAAACTCCCTCTCAATACACAACCGGATTTTCTGATTGGAAACACATAGGATTTTGTTTAGAAAATCACGAAAATTCTAATGAACATAAGAATTTAATGTTAGTGTGGTTGACACGAAAAAAAAAATAAGTCTATTTTAGACAAGCAGCTTCAGGAGCAATTAAATAAAGAAACAGAATATTATCACAATGTCCTAAAACTGGTTATTGCAGTGCTAAAATTTTTGAGTATAAGAGGCTTAGCACTTAGAGGTTCCGAGGAAGTATTTGGTTCTCTACATAATGGTAATTTTATGGGTGCTCTAGAGCTATTGCGGAAATGAATCTGCAGATTACGTGCCATGTGCTGCGCATTCTTAGTCAAGAATCCGTGAAGGTTGCAACCGAAATAGTAACTTTTTTTGGAATAGTGCAACAAATATACGTTTTCTTCTCTGCTTCGACCCATAGGTGGGAACTTTCAAAATCGTGAAACAAAACTAAAATTTACGTTAAAAAGTTTAAGCCAGACCAGATGGTCTTGTCACTTTGATGCTGTCAGAGCTTTGAAAAGTAATTATGATGGCATTATGAAAATGCTCAATAGTTTCGGCGAAAATGACGATGAAAAAGTTGATTTTCGAAAAGAGGCATGCAATTTATTTAATAAACTGGCGAAACTAGAAACTGCAATTTTGATTGTTTTTTGGGAAGAAATTTTGGAGAGATTTAATGTAGTTAATAAGAAAGTACAGAGCCCTGGTTTAGACATTGGTGAAGGCAATAAGTTAATTGTGTCATTATAAGAGTTCGTGAAAAACATAAGGCAACAATCAGATCAGAAGCTAAAGGAATACGAAGAGAAAGCTAAAAAATTAAGTTCTAGTGTAGGAACAGGCTAAAGTGATATAAATAAGAGACGCATTACTTCAAAATTTTCAGATAAATCTACAAATAAAGTCTCAGTAAACGGCGCAGAAAATTTTAAAAGAAACACGCTTAACGTTGCGTTGGACAAGATGATTATGGATTTAAATAATAGAAGTGAAGCCTACGAGACTTATAGCAAAAAAATTTAATTTTTAATGGATTTGCAAGACAAAAATCAAGAACACATAGATCTGGAAAGTGTACGTAATATTATGGATTATTATCCAAATGACGTAGACGAACATTTAGTGAATAAGTGCATTTAGTTGAAATCTTACTTACTGCAGTCTAAGACAGAGTCTTAAACCTCTTGCAGTGAAATTTTTTGGCTAATTTATAAAAAGAAATTTGTTGATGTTTTCCCAAACTGCTATACCATCTTAAAGATTTTTTTAACGATGCCGATCACTAGCTGTGATGCGGAGCGTTCTTTCTCCAGGATGTCGTATATAGAAAACAAATACGGGACAACAATGTCGAACTATCCACTAAATCATTTATCAGTTCTTTCGATAAATTGCGATTTAACAAAGGACTTACAGTGCGATGGCCAAATAAAAGAATTTGCAGCACAAAAATGCAGAAAGGTTGCTTTATAGGTTTTATAACATAACCATTTATAACCTGTCAAATTATTTTGCATTAAATAATGTTTTAATAAATAATTAAAATATTTTGATTTCCTATTTTCTTCCTGTACTTAACATATATTACATTACATATACCTACATCACTACAAAAAGCAGTTTCTTGTCAAAATGTTAATTAGTTGAATAATTAGGTAGGGCCCCTAAGCAGTATTAGCCCAGGGCCTCACAAAATCAAGATCCGCCCCTGCACGGACAGCCCCCTATGCAGAGGATGCATGGAAGCAGAAGAAACAGCTACTCACGTTCTGCTGGAATGCAAAGGAGTGGCCGAATACCGGGCGAAATACCTCGGCTCACCAGGAAACCTTCAAGAGGCAGTCACCCATGTCAAGGCCCTGGGGGCGTTCCTGGCGGAGCTGGGCTGGCTGAAGTGACTCCGGCCATACATCGTCCTCACGCAAAACAGGCGCCATAAGGACGTCGAGTTGCGGAAACGCCCGTAGCAAGAAGAAGAAGCATAGAAGTGTAGTCTCAGGATTAAAACGTTTCTGGGCCAAGGCTCAAATTGTGAACAACAAAATTTAGTCCGATTTAACAAAAAACACAAACGTCACCGCTAAGAAATCCCTATTCGTAGTAACACCTCATTTAGACACTCATATAGATGTTGAGCATCTCTAAAAACATCGGAAGTCTAGGAGTCGATATTTCGAAATAAAATGCAATTCCGAGATCATTTGGAAGGAAAAACCAAACTAGCTTGCAAAAAGCTTGGGGTGCTCAATAGAGCGAGAACGTACTTCAAGTCTAAACATCAGATGTTGTTAACAAAACACAGGTCCGGTCGCCAATGGAGTACTGCTCTCATCTCTGGGCTGGAGCACCCCAATACCAGCTCCATCCTTTTGACCAGATGCAAAGGTGGGCGGATCGACTTATCGATGATCGTGAGCTCACTGACGCGTTGCAACACCTAAGCTTGCGCAGAAACGTTGCGTCTCTGTGCATGTTGAACCGTCTATACAATGGAGAATTTTCCGAGGACCTCTGGGCTGGAGAATCCCAATACCAGCTCTTTCCTATTGACCAGATTCAAAGGTGGGCGGTTCGACTTAACAATGATCTTGAAATCACTGCGCGTTGCAACCCCTAAGCTTGCGCAAAAACGTTGCGTCTCTGTGCTTGTTGTACCGTCTATCCAATGTACCCTTGCCTTGACGCTGCAAGTGTCCGTGGGCGGTAATGACCGAGCACCTACCACACCTACCATCAGGTGGGCTGTCAACTCGTTTTCTGCATAAACATAAAAAAGAAATTTGTTGAGTATGCAATAAAATTTATCATTATTTTGGGATTTTTAATTATAGAAAACTGATCATTATAATGTGTATTCTATGCATTATGTCTGTGATAGAAAAAAAAAAACAGTTTCTGAACTAAACTGTCAGTGTCAGAATCAGAAAACTGTCAAGATCAGCAGTCATAACAAAACGTCATTTCAACTTGCAAAAATCTTTTTTAGAAAAAAATTTTGCTTCTTTAATTAACGTTGTAGATTAAGTGTAATTTAAATATCCTTTAGTGAAATTCAATCATTCCAGATCAATTTAGTGTTAGTCATAGTTCAATGAGGTCATCACGCCGTGGTTATCATAAAACAAACTAGCGTTTCTACTCGGTCGGATTCAGTATTTATTAGTAGCTGTTGCGATACAGACGTGTCTTTAAATTCTTCAGGATGAAGTTCGCTGAGCACTTAAGTGCCCACATAACACCTGAGTGGCGCAAACAATACATAAATTATGAGGTAAATATTTGACGAATTCAACAATGGTGTTGCAATACAAATCTCATTTTCGTGGTTTCCTGGCCTTCTCATTTATCTTTGAATTGGTAATCTCTGTATTGTATTGTGATCTGTATCATGATTATCAGAAATGCCAATCTTAATTGTCAGACAATATAAACTGACTTAATCAATATATAATTTGTTATGACTTTTTCCATAAGATAAATTGAAATGGAATAATCAAATATTCTTAACTATTTGATATTAGTTTGGCTGTTTGCTAGTCTACACACTACAGTTGTTTGTATATAAATATCTTTTATAATTAAAATACACTGGAACAAACTGCATATAGACATAGAGCATGCAAGATAAAAACCTAAATTTAGACTGTGGTGATTAGAATTTTGTTTATTTAACTATTTTTCTTTGTAGAGTTATGTTTCTGCTGGCTTTTATTCTGGCATGTCTAAATACTTTAAAATTTTATTTTAGATTTGTCATAAGATTTTTTTTTTCGAACATTTACATTTATTTTAATAAGGTACTTACTAACATATTTTTAAGTAATTTTTTTTACCATCACTATGGACAGGAAAATAATATATTTTTGTTATAAAATCAGGTTCATTCTGGTTTTGCTATATATTTAAATCATCATTCTTTTAATGACTTTATAGGTTCTGATAACAATTAAATGAACCATTTTGTTATCTGTAATAAACAATTTCAAATTGAATATAGATTGAAAAGGGCTTTCATTTTGATTGATTGATTCAATTTCTCTTAGATTCCAAGTTATTATCTGCTCTATGTTCTATTTATCTTATTATTTTAAAATATTTTCTTTTTCATTATCAATCAGGATATGAATTTAAAAATGTCTCTTTAATAATTTGTCATTCTCTGAAACTATGATTGATTGATTGCAATGATTTTTTTTAGAAATATCATTGACTTAATCTATCTGCATCAGACTTCAGAATTTGGTAACACTTAAAAAGTTAAATTCAAGGGCTTTTAGAAATTCAGGTCATTGGCAATGTTGAAACTTGAAAGTGATACTAAAATCATAGAAAACTTCATAGCAAAAAAGTTTCTATGCTAGTTATGAATGACATTGAATTTGCAGTAGGCAGTGGCACAACTTTTTCTTATTGTGTTCATATTTTAATAAGAGTTTATACTATGTGTGTTTATCTACACAAAAAATACATCATAAGTACTTATAATTTAAGTTCCAAATGTTCAAATTGTGACATTAAAGGGCTAAGAATTTGTTGAAAGTTGAATTATCACATCACAGTAAATATAAAGTGATGGCAAATGAAGGTGTCCTATTCCAAAGTCCAATACTATCAAAATTTCAAATAACTTAGGTATATATTTTTATTTTGACTAAAAGTAATAGATTAAACATTATCAAAATAATAATTGATAAAAATAAATGCAATGATTTATTTTAATAATACAATTGATTTGATACAATTAATAATACAATTATAAATTGTATACAATTTAAGATGGCTGAATAGGTGGAACACCAAAAATCTTATGATGCCGAGTATACTTTGCTCAAATGCAAATTAATGAATTCTAAGTCTCTTGGATTTTTGGATGTCGGCTCATCTGATAAGTTCAGGCTCCATTTGCCACCAAAGAAATTTAAAAATATAGTTTTTCACAACAATATTGTAATAAGTAATTGAAAAGTAATAGATTGAAAGACCATCACAAAACAGCTTTAAACAACACAGCAATATATATTTGTACAGGAAATGAAAGCAATGTTATACACAACAGTTGAAGAGGCACCATCCGCTGAAAATGTGGAGCCCGAGGTATTGTCGCGCCACTTTGCGAACTTTGATGAAACATTTTTCCATTACTGTGACCAGGAGCTCAAGAAAATTAATACCTTTTACTCAGGTTAGTTTTCCTGCGGTGCAGTGTCAACTATCATGATTTGCTATTTTTATTGTTATGTTAAATAAACTATTTTATGCTTGAATGTCGCAATGTATTGTTGTTTTCTTAAAGTAAGCTTTTGTAATCATTATTTTCCACATTCAATAGTACAAACTTGTTGTACCTTTATTGAAGAGGGAAATCAAACTCAAAGCAGAGTATTAGCATTAATGTATATTTTTATGTTTAAGCATTTTACTGCTAGATGTTTAATTTCGGTACAGGCAGCGAGTCCCGACTGCTACTAGACATCTAGCAGTTAAATGTTTAAAAACAAAAAATATAAGTATAATTGCTGTTTTTTCTTTCAAATGTTTAATACTTGTAAAGCTATTCATTTGACATTGTGGGTTATCTACAATACAAAGAGATGGCGCTGCATCCACCCGGATAGCGGAGGGTGCGGGTTCGAGTTCCGTCCGCTGCATGGGCCGCGCGGAAATTTTTTCTAGTAAAATTTTCTTTAGAATAATCATTAATATCGTTCGAATTATGTGGTAGATTTTACCTTAAGGTTTGATGTAGGTAGGCATGAACTTTATATTTTTATCCACAGAGAAATTAGCAGAAGCCACTCGTAAATTCGCAACACTAGAGAGTGAACTAAAATCCCATTTTGACACAATGAAACCGAGAGGAGGTGGCGACAGTAAAAAGTTTCAGTTGCCCCGGCGGAAGGTTCAGGAGCTCAAGTTGGCCTTTAGCGAGTTCTATCTTAGTCTAATACTGTTGCAAAACTACCAGAACCTCAATTATACGGGATTTAGGAAAATACTGAAAAAACACGACAAGGTAAGTCATTTCCTTGGTGTGATTATAGTCTTATATCGCGGATTCATTGTAAATACAGGTTATTCTTTAAAGTAATCGTATAACACTGAGTATTATTAAAAAATACAGTACATTTGAAACACTCAAGCATGTCAATAATTTGACAGCAAACTGAAAGTCTCCAATGAGATAAAAATTATCAATTTCTAGAAACTGTAACCTTGGAACTGTATGTTAAATTAAATGCGACATAACTCGGCTGCGCGAAGGACCATTAATAGAGTCCCATCTTTTTTTCGTTTTTCTCGTGTGTGCTTTATAATAATAAGGTAATTTCCCCATTTCTATAAACAAATAAGGTTCATGCGAAGTCCCTCACGCCTAGATTGGTCTACATTACGTCAGCTCTATGTGGACTCTACTGAACACATTACTGCAAAACCAAAACAGGTCATATGTAGTCGGTACAAAGAAACTTAAAGGAAATATGGGTAGTTGAAAATTTAATGAACAATAAAAGATAAGATAAACTACGTACTGTGTACTCGGTCAGTGTATTGAATATTTGCTTACCAACGGTATCAGATTTTCTTAGTGTGGCGAGATAAAGTTTTCTGAGACTATCTATGTAGATACCCGTTATACAAAGCAATTCGCCTTTATTTACTCTCATTATGATATTGAGAGTTTCAAGGAGGTTTGGTCGACGATGGTGGATGTTAAAGAACGTCCACAAAAGCAACTCATCCCATGGGTGACTCAACATGTATTAAGTTAAGCCGTTGGTCCCGGTTGTGTACGTACTACAGTCGCTTAATGCCACCAATGCTCGCTGAGTCCACGTTGTTAGGTTACGGCCTGTTGCTCTTGATGCATCTATTGAAAGTCATTCTTGCTGCGTAAAAAATTGTCAGTTACATACAGTTATGAATTATAAATTTGCAGAACTCTTACAATCTCGAGACTAGATAACACTGTCTGTAAAACTATATAAAACAGTCCTCCTAGCTACTATTCAAAAGAGTAAGTATCTGGCGTGGCAAAGTCAAGGCCGATTCTTGAAAATTTGTTTTGCAGCCTGACGTTCGACCCTTTATAAAGTACTTAGGTATGGTGGGAGTAATTCACAAGGTGCAAAGTTACCCCCCGTATGGTATTCCGGCGCGCTCGAGTAAATCCCTAAATCCTCGCTCAGGAAAATCCGCTATGCCCTACCTCTCTTAATATATAACTTTTGTAAAAATGACACTGATATAAAGAGACAACAATATTTTTTTCTCTAATAGTTACTTAGCGTAAACAACGGCGCTCAATGGCGGGCGGAACACGTGGAGACATCTCACTTCTACACGAACAAAGACATAGACAGACTGATCAGCGACACCGAGGCGACGGTCACCAATGAGCTGGAGGGCGGGGACAGACAGAAGGCCATGAAGAAGCTCCGGGTGCCTCCATTAGGCGAACAGCAGAGCCCGTGGACCACGTTCAAAGTGGGATTGTTCTCGGGCTCTTTCATTGTGCTACTTATAACTGTGGTGCTTTCTGGTAAGTCTCTTATTGTTATAATACTATTAGTACTGTAATACTGCACATCCTGAAAATATCGATGGAACAGTGGTGAACGCTTTCCGTGAGCAATATAGGAGGTCAAGCTACTTTGTGAGAGGATGGGCGATCAAAAATTATCTCGAGTTCTTCCATGCTTTGGAAGGTACGCTAATCCATTCGTCCTGGCTGCAACTACAGTCCTCAGAAACCATCAATCAACACTGGGCCTGCGTGGTGGGTCATGGGCCAAAGCCCCTATTCCATCCATAGGAAAGGCCTGTGCCCTAGCTGTGGGGTCATTAATAGGCTGATGATAATGACACATCCCTGATGTCTAAATGTGTAAGTTGTTCTCTTTCCCTGTCCCTTTCAAAACAAAAGAAAATTATCAATCTGGCAGAAAGTTTCAAAGATGGGCTTCTTGGATACTAGTCATCTAGAGTATAGTATGTCCGCACATCGGTCCATCTTGTTCTTGTCTGGGAATGTATGATAGATGTATATCTTAGAGAAGACCTGCAGTATAATAACGCAAGTATGTAGATGTATTGTAATAAAAGAAGTTAAGAAAGAAGAGTTTTTGAATATTTATATATATGTATCTGATATTCGCTAGCATCAGTCACCACATAAAGAGTATTATTTGTTAGGCATAAATTGTTTTAAACAGCCTGCAATAACTGTACAAATTTACATAGTCAGACATGCCCTTGGCTTGGCGCTATAATAAACAGTATTTACAAATCAAATGAAAGATCACAGGAGTTCAATATAATTAAACACGCACAGGCGCTGTTTCGCTGACACCTATTAAATAGTAAGCTTTGTACTTAAGTAGTGGAGATAGTTGTCAAATAAACTATTAGCTCACGAAGGTTATTCTCATTGGTATGTTAAGAGATTCAATTATTCGAACGAGTTGGTAAAGCGTGAGTGATGCTTTTTGTGTTTATAAGAGAAGCGGTTACCGCCATCTATGAAGATGCGGTAGCCGCTTGCCAATAGGGGAGGCGTACGATTGTTGGCTTTTTAAGTTATAAAAAAAATTACATGATATATTTTAAACTTGTAGGACAGAAGCGCTATCAGAGAGAATACGAATATGTTTTCCTCTTACCCCGCGACAATCTATCGCCTCAGCGGCTTTAATGATGCCACACTCTGCCTGGAAGACCGTGTTATAGGCACCCAATGCTGTTGAGATGTGTATATCGTCGTCTTAACTTATTAATTGTCGTTACCTGGATTGTCTTGGTCAATACTTTTGCTGCATAGCTGATGATGGGCCTAATTGTGGTCGTGTACAGCCACCTAACAATGAGCGGTGATAGTCCCCAAGTTTTGCTATACATTTTACGACATTGCAGAAAATGATGTTGGTCTTAGTAGTAGTTTTGTCTATGTGTGATCCCCAGTTCAGTTTGGAATCTAGGGTTATTCCTAAATACTTTACCTCATTGGAGAACCTTAATGTCGTGTTAAATAGTTTCGGTAGCCGATAGTAGCCTAAGGATCTTTTGTTCGTGAACATGACTAATTCTGTCTTTACTGGATTCACCTTAAGGCCGATGTCGTCACACCATTTTTCTACCACTTTCATTGCCCCCCGTGTAACATCACAGGCGGTGCATGCAAACTTACCCGAGATTATGATTGCAAGGTCGCCTGCATAGCCCACGATACAAGACTATAATAGCTGTTATGTCTAACCTTAGAAAATATAAATTGCAGCTTACCTCTTCTTGAACTATAAAAAACTTTAGTTAATAAATCCAATGAAAATTTTACTTGAAATGAAAACCACTCCCTCCTGTCATCAAAACAGGATTCGTACCTGCACCTTCCGCACTCGGAGCGGACGCACTAACCAATTATGGTACTGAGAGTTGAGACCTTAATTCATGGTTCAATTTCTTCTTGTATTTTTTAGGTTAATAACAATAATTGTTAACAACTTTCGGTTGGTACCCTCCCTTACTGTTGTACTAAGAAAGTTTACAAATAGAGATCAACTACGCATTGACTCGCGTCATTTAACGTCACGTGTTTATAATAATACCGGAAATGTGTGAAATCTATAATAATATCGACAGTTGAAAAGCAAAATTGCTAATACGCCACTTTGATGCTGCTTAAAAATTAACATAAAATAATAATGAAATTAAGTCAATTTTTAAGCAGCACCGAAGTGGTTTATAATCAACTTCGCTTTTCCACTATCGATGTAGATTTCCAACATGCAGTGACAGAGAGCATAAAAATGTGTGAATTAAATTACTGCGTGTTTTGTGTTAAATGTGGGTACGAGGTGATAGACAATTTTAATATGTACTAATTTGCCTATAGTCGAAACTATGCTAGTCCTTTCTCTCATACTGTACTTGCATACATAGCCTCGGAAGTAAATGAAATCGAGAAATAATATATATAAAAAAAATGTGTAAACGGAATAATTAAAATCGCTAGGTTTGTATACATCGACGGTAAACTGTTCGGTACTGACGGTAAACACTTCTAAATTCTAATATTATAATTCCTATACAGCTGAGAACTACCCCCGGAAATATAATAATATCTATACCTATATTGACAATGAGCTATGTAAGTACCTTAGAAAGTAACATCGATAGTTATCTTGGCTTGACGTCTTAACCATAATCATATTTTGCTCAATCTGTCCGGGTTGGTTGGTTGAAAATGACATGTTATATTAAAAGTTCTAATTGAACTCCCATGTCTCGTTTTTATTAAACATTTGTGAAGCTCGTATAAGATATCTGTCTCTAAGTATAAATAGTGAAAGAGGATACCAATGCACAGCGAATTTTTCTCTCTAATTGCAGCGCCCGTCTATGGAATGTAGTCCGGCATGGTAGACAACGTGCGAGTTATACTTTTGTATGACGTATTACGACGTACGACCGGTTACCATTGAGAGGGCCAATCATGTTTTGCCCTTATTACTACATAAAAGGCAAACCATGTAAATAATAATCAAATCAATTAGCTAAGAATACATGCTTTACGAATTCTTGCAAAATCTCTGTATGTATTTGTATTACCTAGCAAACAAACACCAAGTTAAAACACCAGTTAGTTATATTTGTATGTGTTCTTGATATGACTCACTAAATATTGGCAAAGTCAGATAATGATTATGACTTCCATACACGGCATAATGAAGTGGTGTGTGCAATTGAAATTTATGGTTTGCTGTGTGCCTTCGAGTACTAAACGTTTATCTCGCAAACTGAAGCAATATTAGTGCGCGAAAATAGTAACATCTAATCCGCGAACAGCCGTTGCATCGACCACAAACTGTCTTATCATTATTCAAATGTATGCGGTTTAAGATTAACTAACTTTGAATTTATAGGAGTAAATTTCCTACTGTCCTTCGCGTACATATAAACAAGCGTACAATAAAGAAACTAATAAAAATTGGCGACGCAAGATATTCGATCCCTTTCTGTTTCATATATTTTTTACGCGTTTGGCAGAGATTGAAAGGAATAAGTAACGCATCCCCACTTCCGTATATAAGTGGTGGCACGTTTGACACTGATTCATTCAAATATATTATCCTGAAACAATAATGACAGATTGCCAGCTAATCGCCAGTATATTTCCCAATATGCTCTATCCAATGATAAGCAAAAGCCTACCTTTCCTTGCAGTGCGGTTGCGTTAAAAACACTGCACGGAAAGATAGCAGCCAGCAGCCAGCAGCGGTTCCTTATGCATGTAATTAAATATTTGTTTGAATACTATACCTACCCCATATATTAGTATTCCATACTCCACACACATTGATGTAGATGTCGTCACAAGAAGTTGAAAATTTATCAATATAAATATTAATTAAGGGATCAGTTAAAATGAAGCGCACGAGACGCGCGCCTAGTGTACGCTGCGTTTTGAACGCTCTATAAAATTCAATGAATTTGTATGAAACGAATTACATCAATTGCTACAAATCACATCCAAAAATGCGGGCGTGATGTCCGCGTAAGAGTATGCGCACGGACGACCAAATAAAAGCCCTTTCTAAGTAAATGGATGAGTAAAATATCTTCGCAGTAAGTAGTTTATTGTTTTACAATTTTCCTTGTTTTGTCTGAATCAATAGGTAATTAACTTAACAGAAATACAGCACCAGTGATGTGTATATAAAATTGTCCATATTGCAATGGCGAACTAAATATTTAATGTCTTTGCTTCCCTTATTTTTTAATCAAATAGGATATTATTAGTCTATCTGATGGCTGATATACTAGCCTATAGACGCTTGTGTTACCTATAAAAGCGTATTACTTCCGCGTTGCCTACCCTAACCGCATCCCCAAACCTCATCGAAATCTGGAACACAAAATAGCAAACGACAGCGCTATATACCAACCTCTGACCTCCGTTTAGCTTTGAAGGAGAAAGCGAAAGAGAGCAATTAAGCGTCGGTTACTTTATATACCTATTTTTATTGTATGAAGCCCACCACGCTTCAGCTAAACTTATGTCCATAATATTAATCTATTATTAACTACCTAAAACTGGTTGTTCAGTCGTCCCGTTGAATTTGACGCACTCATTTGTCTCCGCTTCCGTTAGACGATTTAAAAACGTCATTTGGGTTATATGAACGAAACGCTGCATCACTATTAGACCCTAGACCAAGGTTATTTCTCGTTTATTAATAAGGAGGCTAAATTAAAATCCAAATTCTTTTTTCCAGCTTTATTCCACGAAGGTGCCACGGAAAACTTCAAAATAGCATTCAGACTGTACAGAGGACCATTCCTATTAGTTGAATTCATATTTCTAATCGGCATCAATGTGTACGGTTGGCGGTCTTCCGGAGTGAACCACGTTCTTATTTTCGAGTTGGACCCTCGGAACCATCTGTCGGAACAGCATTTGATGGAACTCGCAGCTATATTCGGAGTGGTATGGGCGCTGAGTATACTCAGCTTCATATACAGCGCTAGTTTGAGTATACCGCCGTTTGTGAACCCACTAGCACTCGTGGTTATAATGCTGGCCTTCCTCATGAACCCGCTAAAGGTTTTCAGACACGAAGCGAGGTTTTGGTTCCTGAGGATATGTGTGAGTATTGTAAACTTTTACTTTTCAAGAAATTAAAAATTAATTTAAGTAAGCTTTGCATACAAACGTATGACTACTTGATGTTTAAGCCCAAAACTCACATAAGGCTGATGCCTGCATGAATTTAAATCTGCGTATAATATAGATAGATACGATCGTACCTAACTTCACAACCGCCATAATCTTTGAATCGCACTATTCAAAATATAGACGACCTGCGTAGATCAAAAACCGCGCTATACCTATGTGATGTTGTCCCATTCTTCTTAATGAAAGACATTGTTTTCCAGGGTCGGATACTTGCGGCGCCGTTCATGCCGGTGTTGTTCGCTGACTTCTGGCTGGCTGACCAATGGAACTCATTCGCGAGCGCGTTCCTCGACTTCCACTACTTAGTGGCCTTCTACGTGGCCGGCGGCGACTGGTTCAATGTTAAGGGTGAGCTAAGATTTTTTTTAAAAGTAAAGTCACAGAACAATTTCCTCCAACCTTCTTGCAGAGCAAAACAAAGTTACATTGCAATTAATTGGAATACAATTCGTTTTCTGGAGTAAAAACAGAATCTGGGATGATTAGATCTTGGAATGCTCTGCCCGCTCACGTTTTCCCTCCCTCTTACAACCTGGGATCCTTTTAAAGAGGCGTGAAGAAGCAACATGCAGGTCGGTAGGGTGAGGGTGGCTGGTGTGGCAGGTAGACAGAGGCGTCTTTACCTATGGTGCAGGGTTTGCATTGCACACGGGCGCAAAGTCCTAGGGGGCGCCGAGCGCCGACGCCGCTCGCTACGAAGCCCACTTGCCGCACACGACGGCCGTGTGACTTGCTTCTTCAAATATAATTTCCAAACCATAGAATTTATTATTCATTTTTGAAATTTGACAGTTTGATTGATGTGTTTTTACTTGTACTTTTTACCCATTCCATTGTGATCACACGCTTACTAGGGGGCGCTAGGATAATTTTGCAAACGGGCGCTACATGGGCTAGAGACGCCTCTGCAGGTAGATCTGCTGTATCAGCTATCTTCGCGTCTGGACTTCACCGTCACTTAACATCAGGTGGTGTGGAGTCATTTGTCAGACCTAACTATAAAAAAAAAATATACTAAAGATATAAATGCGAATGTGTGTCTGTCTGTTTACTTCTTCTTCTTCACGTTTAAATCGCTGAACCGATTTAATAAAATTTGGTTTATAGTTAGTTTGGTTTATAGTCCCGGGAAAGGACATACAATAGATTTTATCCTAAGAATCCTTTAAGGAGCTGAAAGGAGTTGTGGAAGTTTGCATAGAAAACAATATTTCCACGCAGACGAAGTTGCCGGAACCCACTAACTTTAATAAAATCGCATACAGAACGGAGTTACTCTCACCTTCTTGCAGAGGTCAATCATTGACGACAACCAAGTTAAAGAAAGCAAATTAGTCCAGCCTTAAACTAAAAAAGCGACTGAAATTCATCTGTATCTTTGCAATACAATGCATTTTCCGAGGAACCTGCAGAATACGGGTCATATGAACAAAATATACTATGTACATATATAGGGTCTTTGTTAATTCCTGCTCCTTTATAAGTGCTTAGTGATAATATTTACTTGAAACAGCTGTTGCATGCTTTAAGATTTGTTATTGAATCTCCAGTACTAGATATTTATATTATTTAGATTAAAATAACGACTGGTTCTAAGAAGTGGAACCAAATTATTCTCTATCGAAAGTTCATAGAAATCCCACTAATGCAAAGATCGCCAAGTTTTATTATATTACCCAGATTTAATGTAAATGTCTATTTAATTATATTATTTTAATTATTTCCTTAAATTGCATTTCAAGAGTCGTAAATAGCTTTTAATAAGGCGGTGGCGGTTCAGATTTTTTAGAAAATACATCGTAAGAGTGGTGACTAAGTGTATATGTAGAATGTGGCCATATATTCGTTCGAGATGGCGCAGCAGCACTGGCAAAGCCTGCGCCTGGACCGCGACACCAGCCGGCCTATTCGCTAACTTTTTGACATTTACAGTGTGTAACTAAAGAGAAAATTGCATATCCATCAAAGCTTTTCAGAACAAGTGTCATAGTGGCGTTAAAATAAAGCAGTAATGAATCACTGAATAGCCCGGTGATTATCACTTCTATCTGTTAAAAGTAGTTAGCTAATAAGCCCACAGGGAGGTGTTTCCGCATCTAGTCAATGCGGGGAAATACTCCACCACGTTCTGTGTAATCCTACTGGACTCATCGCGAACTATGTGTCTACTGAACTTAATTATTCCTTGTGCTCGATGTACACCGTTCATAGTTTCCATTGGTTGTTGAAATTTTGTTTATGCAATTATGGACTTTAATTGTCAGACCGAAGATTTAGCTCACAAGAGTTTAATTTAGAAGATTTAGTTCTTCCAAAATTACATTATTAAAGTAGTGAAAAGGTATAAATAAGGATATGGCGGTATAGTTCGTTCGAAAAACACATTTTAAGAGCGCTGACGGGGTGTAATGTGAAGTGTGTGCGCGTAAATTCATTCGAGACGGCGCGGCGGTTCTTGGTGTCGCGCGCGTTTGTGAACATAGTGCCGGCGTGGGCGCTGTTCTGGCAGTGCCTACGTCGGAACGGCGACACCAGGAAGGCGTTCCCGCATCTGGTCAACGCTGAGAGAAATACTTCCCCACTTTCTGTGCAATATTATAAAAGGGGTATCTGGGTGTAGATTCGTTCGAGACAACGCGGTGGTTCTTGGTGTCGCGCGCGCTCGTCAACATAGTGCCGGCGTGGGCGCGGTTCTGGCAGTGCCTGCGCCGGTACCGTGACACCAGGGAGGCGTTCCCGCATCTGGTCAACGCGGGAAAATATTCCACCACGTTCTTCGTGGTGCTGTTTGCGACTCTGAGGGTGACTTACAGCGGTGAGTATGTGTGGTGCGAAGTCGAAGCCACGGAGCAAATACAAAGAGGAGCTGCTGCATTCAATGTTGCACAGCTCCTACCAGTGTTGCACATAATAGTTCTAGCCACTCAGCACCAGAGGAGCTTATATCAGTACGACTATATTTTATTAACAACAAGTTAAAAAAATATTTATATTATTAAATACCCGTCTGAAACCTGCCTGATGCCAGTTGAATATTTTTTAATAATTAATATCTTTAGACACCTGTAAACATTTTGCACTTAATTTGCATTACTAAATGAGAAAAAACAACTAGACTCGCCACTACTGCTGTCTAGTGAAGAAAATCAGAACCATTTGGTACACGTCAGTTAAGCTTAGAAATAGCCCGTTATTAGTTTCTCTAATCCTACTAGTGTTAATGTTGGCATCCTGTAATGATGCCCGCACTCTTAATGGCTTAACTTTGATTTCTTAGAACAAACCCCTGAACAAAATCTCCTCTTTGTATTTGGTCCATGATCGAAACGGTGGTAATAGAACTCAGAAAGTGTTTTTGAGGAAAATGTATATTAACAGCGTTATAATGTTCCTTTGCTGAGGCACATATCTGCCCTACAAATGGAATAGAGATATTGGGCCATGACAAGTAAACGGACAATCAAACGTCGAAATTTGACATAAAGTGGATGCAAACATTAGGGCAGAAACAGACATTTGAACGACGCTATTCGATGCCACGCGACGAGGCATTTTCTATGATCAGTGTGTGCTCATCGCTTCGCGTCGGGTGTTCCTGATGTGATTCTGATCATAGAAAATGGTAGATTTGATTCGACTCAACACGCGTCGCGTGGCATCGAGTTGCGTCGCATTTCAAAAGTCTGTTTTTGCCTTCATTCTAATTCCTAACGATAAAACTTATTATTCAGATTCAAATTTTGGTCGTTCTTGAAGCACTAGCACTGAGAAGTACTGTACAGTACTAAGCACTGAGAAGTACAAAATATTTTTACAAGACTGTCAATGTCATATAAGTGCCACAAGTAATCGCACAGATATTTAAACATTAAGATTCAGTTTTAAATTTCTTGATTGGTACTTGGGTACAAGCGGTCTAAATAAAGTACTAGTAATAAAGTTAGTAATAATAATCAAGTAACATACTATAACTGGTTTTAGATCAGTACGCCGGCAACAGGTACGACAATCCGTTCCTGTATGCGTGGTTCGGTTGTCAGCTGATCTCCTCTCTCTATACTTACACGTGGGACGTGAAGATGGACTGGGGCCTCTTCAGCTGTGGCCCCAACGCGGAAAACAAGTTCCTCAGGGAAGAGATCGTTTATAGTCCAGGGGTGAGTGTTTCATAATAGTCTGTTGCTGAAACTGGTCCGAAGCTTGATGATCTGAACATTTTTGTGACATGTATTGATCATTAAGAGGAGAATATGTTCTACCTACACAAAATCTGTCAAAATCATGTCCAATCAGTTATCTTTAGGTAAAAAATAATAATTAAATCCTCAATGACTATTAGTAATTACACATACAGATTCCCTCTTATTAATAAACGAAGTCTACGCTTGGATTAGTTACTCCATGTTTTGTCTTTGTCTATTGAATGACAAATAGCATTTGAGTGACTTGAACAAAACACGGCGTAACTAGTCTAAGCTTATGCATTTTATTAATAAGGGGGATTAAGTTTAGTTACCTACTTTATTAATTATAACAAAACTAAAAGGCCATTTACCTTAATTTAGTCAAAGCCACAGCTGATATTGCTCTGATTCGACGAAAGAGAATAATTAATACTTTTTTATCTAAAATAAAACAATTTTAATACTGTCTTAGGGTTAACTTGAACAGATATCAACAGCAATTACTCATGATTCTCAAATTTCTTGATCAATTGTAGCTTTTGTTTGTTACAGTTTTACTATTTCGCCATTGTGGAGGACTTCGTGCTTCGCTTCATATGGATAGTTTCGTTCCTGTTGACTGAGAACGGGCTCATCGGCGTCGAGACTATGGTGTCCATACTGTCGCCGCTTGAAGTCTTCAGGTAAGGGAATAAGGTTTAAATTTGTGCGCACCTTATGGTGTATTTCCTTAGACTTTAAACTAGCAATGCTTTGATAATAAACTAAATATTAAATGAAAGAGGTGCTCTAAACAATAAATTGTTTTGTCACCCATCCGGTGACCGGCCATTGCGAAAGTTGATCAAATTCACGATTGCACATGCGAACGCCCTAACCACTTTTGCCTCTGAGCTCCTGCGAACTGAATATAAAATAACAGTACTATTTTACTTTTTTATCATACTACAACATTGTTAGAATTCCTCGAAAAGTAGGTATATAAAATAACTTATACTACAGTATCCGGATATCCAGATACTGAATAACAAAAAATATCACTTAAGGCTGTTTGGTTTTCTGTACCCACTGATTTTTACCAAATTGTTTGTATATTGTTAGTGAATAAAATTTGTTGTGCATATTATTACTGAATTGGACCCATTTCGATGAAATTTTATGTATACATTCGAATGGGTTCCTGTATAGGTTGCCGACAGAGAACGAATGTTATCTTGTTCAGTCCTCATTGGCGACAATGCAACATTGCTTTGTGCATGCTATTTACCGAGCAAACAAATGTTTGCTCACTCAGAATTGGTCTGAGCGCTAAGTGGAAACGCTGCATAACATGTCGAAACTCTATTGGGTAGTGGGACCATAAAGGTATAAGTATAGAGTAGGGGAGATAAAGCCTCTTCAACAAGTGGAAGTGTCCCTCTAATAGAAAGAGAAAGAAGTTGAGAGACCGCTAGCTTGCTCTCTCTAATCGCGCATGCGCATTGGCAACCGTAAGCGTCTTACTATTTCGATGTGATGCCATTGGATGCAATGTGTCACAAGAGAGAGAGATAGCTGGCGGTCTCTCATCTTCTTTCGCTTTCTACTAGACGGACACTATGAATGGGACACACATCTCTATCGCGCCAGACTAATATGATCCCTATTCCGTATAACAGACGGTTCATCTGGAACTTCTTTCGGCTTGAGAACGAGCACCTCAACAACTGCGGTAAATTCCGCGCCGTTAGAGACATCTCCGTCGCGCCGCTCGATTCCTCGGACCAGGCGGACATTCTGCGCATGATGGACCACCCCGACGGAGTCGTCAATAGGTGAGCGCCGAATGTTAAAGGACCTATTGTGTTTAACTTTTTTTATATTTAAATTCTATCAATTGTTTATTCATCGATTTCAAAAAATAAAGAATAATAAATCCATATAAAATTCTCGTGTTACGGTGTGCGTAATTGAACTACTCCGAAACGGCTCGACCGATTTTCGTAAAATTTTATATGCATATTCGTCTGAGAATCGGACAGCATCTATTTTTCATCCCCCTTAAAAATAAGGTCCATCCTTATTTTTTTTGTTTTATGGACAAAATTTTTTAATTTTATTTTTTATGATACATCATACAAATATACGTACAACCCTAAATTTTCACCCTTCTACCACGAACCCCTATTTTTTATGGCGGTACTAAGTTCGCTGGGACAGCTAGTAAATAAATACACATTTCCAACTCTCACACCAATTAGCCTAGCCCCAAAGTAAGCACTATAAGACTTGTGTTATGGGGTACTAGGGTAACGGATAGAATACACATACTGTACATATGTATATTTTTATAGAAATACATATTAAATATCCATGACTGGAGTACAAATGCTTGTATTCATCACACAAACATCTGCCCCCACCACCGGGATTTGAAACCGGGGCCGCTCGAGTCGGCGACACCATGTAACCCGGCGTACAAACCACTTGGCCACGGAGGTCGTCAAAATGTTAACTTTTTTTTATATTTAAATTCATTGAATGTTTATTCATCGATTTCAAAAAATAAAAAAGAACTCTCTGAATCTTTTATAACACAGATCGGTAATAATATGCGTTTACATAATTTCAATTTTTACTAAAATAAGTGTCCAAGATTTCCATTTATGACTGGGCGCACGCGTACGGTTTCCTGATCCGGAATTCCTTGAGCCTAGCGCAGAAGTTTCGGCTTTTTTATTAGCTATTAGTCTGAGTCATTCTGAAAAAAACAGAGTTTTCAGGTTTCCGAATCGGGATTCCTGACCAGGAAATCGCGTACAGTTTACGGAGCACATAATAAAAATACCCTCTATCAGGCTGGTGCTTGAATAAAGTGAACCTTATCCAAACGTTACTGAGCGTAGTTAATTATTATATTATGTACTAGCAAACCAGTGAACCAAATGTTCACCAAAACCTGATTTAAAAAATGTATTTAATTAATTGAGAACTTCGGAGATTTTGTGTGGTTTCGTTTGAAATTATTTAGTTAAAAAAATAATAATAATAATAATAAAAAAACCTTTAAATAGTTAATTAAAATTGTGATAATTACAAAATAGAAATCATGTGATTTCTCGAAAACCGGAAGTGCTACGTTACTCAAATCCGGTTTGTAGTCTTATCAGACTATTCTTAACTTATAACTTAAATATTCTCTTTATCTATCTTACGGTTTGGCCGCTGAAACAGCACCACAGACAGACGGACGGACGGACTTGTCTAATAGATAAGAGATTATTATAAGCACTTAATTGCTAGATAAAATTGTTACAGAGCCTATTTTATATCTTTTTCCACAGACTGACAAAGAAGAAAAATCTCAAAAAACCCAAAGAGAGCGACAGAAAGCCTCTGCTCAAAAAGGAGTCAATCCAAGAGCTGCAACTGGAGCTGGATCTATCAACCAAGATGCTGTGACGACCCGCCTTAGAAGCTAGTGGGAGGGGAGTCCCCCGCCAGCGAGTCTGCTCGAATTATCGTCATAAAGTACAGAGTAGATCAGGCCCCACTTCCCCCCTTACCCCACGACGCTGTGACCTCTGTGATACGATGCTCGGAGTATTGTTACGAATATATTTTTAAAATTACTCGGTGTCTTTTTATTTTACTACCTTTTGTCAAAAATAACTTGTAGAGTCTGTGCGGAAAGAGAATGGGATTTAGATTTGGGGGCGCAGTAGTGCTTCTACCGTATTTGTAAGGTTTTACCCCTTTTAGACATGATTAAATACAAATCCGCAAGAAATTACAACAACAAACAAATCCGTATCAATACAAAACTTCGACGTTTGACAGATGGCTGGGTAGGATTGCCATATAGAAAATCTTAATGTTAGTTCCGTTTTTCGCCACGCCCATTCTCTTTCCGAACAGACTCTAGTTATATCGCTTTAACATTATATTAGTACGTGAAGGAAAAGTTTTCATACCCCATTTGAAGTACATATTGCTTTAGGAGGACTGTGATATTTACATTAATATTATAAATGCGAAAGTGTCTCGAAATTGTAAAGACAAAAAGTTATAAAAAATTATATTATCGTTTCTGTCATTAATTATATCTATTAAATACATTTTATGACTGTTTACTCTTAATGCTTAGACTGCTGAACCGATTTACATAAGATTTGGTTAAGAAATAGTTGAAATCCCGGATGGGTATGTAGATAGTTTTCATCCCAAAAATCATCTTTTAAGGGGGTGAAAGTTTTTATTACCAACCAATCTTTCCACGCAGACGAAGTCGCGTGCGGCCGCTAGTATTGCATAAATTAGAAGCTAGTGGGAGGGGATGTCCCCGCCAGCAAGTCTGTTCGAATTATCGTCATAAACTACCGAGTAGATCTGTACCCCTAGCACGAACCATTTTCGAATTCGAATAGTTTGCAAACTTAAATGTCAATGTCAAATTTTGTATGGAAACTTGAACAGCAACGGCACAAAGTACGTAACGAGAACTAAAAATCAGTACACATTTGACAATGACATTTCGGACTCGCAACTCGATATTGGTTCGTGCTAAGGGTACTTTATCCCTAGCACGAACCATTATCGAATTCGAATAGTTTGCAAACCGAAATGTCAATGTCAAATTTTGTATGGAAACTTGAACAGCAGCGCCATTTTGGACGTAACGGGAACTAAAAATCAGTACACATTTAACAATGACATTTCAGACTCGCAAACGTTACGAATTCGATTTTGGTTCGTGCTAGGGGTACAGGTCCCAATTCTTACGCTCCCCAACAACGCTGAGACCGACCTCTGTGATTTACGGTATTCGGAGTATTGTTACAAATATATTTAAAAAAAATAACAATATGTCTTTTTATTTATGTTGTCTCTAATAATTTGTGAATATTTATCATTATGTTAATGCGTGAAGAAAAAAAAAGATTTGACAGTACAATAGCTTGACTGGAAAACGAAAAGTATTTTTAGTCACACATGTTATTAAAACAATATATAAACATTAGTGCATCATTTATTATAGAACACAATTAATTCCTTTTATATGTGTACAAGACGAGTGTTACTCGCAAATGTAAATCAATTAATAAAGGTACAATCAAATCACATAGGAGTGGACATTTTTCCACCAAGTGACTTAGAACCTTACGATAGTTTGTATAAAGGTTGATATAAATAATAACGGGGAAAATAGATTGTCCTTTGTAAAGTCAATAAAATGTACTTTTAACTGTGCAATCCAGTGCATGTTAGTGGATACGATTCTATTATACATCGCCTTTATTACACGGTAATAAGGGTGATATTTTTACAACAAGTATATTCGATGTGTTCGGGATTGAACATAATAAGTATTGTAAATTGTGTACTCATTATTAGTAAATTAAAAATATAAATCCACTGCCATTGCAAAGATTATAACTACCTACATACGAGATAAAACAAAAAAAATAAACAAATGAAAATATTTAGAGAAAATTGTTACAAGTAAAATGTTCTTAAGAATTAAGATCTAGCGGTTTTGTGCTTAAAAATAAATAATTATAATAATATCGCCACGGTCACAATAATACTGCCGCTCTGATTTCAAGGTAACATGTATTTAAAAATTTGTTAATTATATGATTATGAAAGCACAATAACAACAACAATACAGCATCCATCCATACTCGAGGTCAAGCAAATTAATATTTTTTCCTATGAAAAATTGAAGAAATTGACCTCAGTGACATTAACGCTTGGTATGGATAACGTCAAATAAGATAAAATGCTTGTAAAAAACAGTGTAGGCAGGACCCGATATGCAAAAATAACACAACTGTTTAAAAAATACCCTTTTGGAGTAAAAAGTACCGCTATGATTACGTCATAAGTAACGTAAAATGTTAAAAGTATCGTTCTTGCAACGCTGGTAACATATCAAAAACTACTAGACCGTTTTCAAACATTTTAAAAAGCTACTTATTCCACATACTACATTTTAATCGCGTTAAATAAATTTCGCCTGTGCAAAGCCGGAGCGCATAGCTAGTATTATATAAATAAATAGTGTATACCTTTACCCCAATTAGCCTCATAAACAGTGTAAGGCTTGTATTGAGGTATAATAGGGAAATATAATGATAAAAGTAAATATAAAGATACACGTAAAGATAAATATATTTTTGTAGAAATATATGAGAACGGCCATGACTAAGGTAGAAACACTCGTATTCATCGTACAAGAAGGGACTTGTTCGTTTTTCATGATTTTTTCCAAAATAGTTTTAGTAATAGCAAATCGGTTTCATTTTCATGTATATACCGATTGCACAATCGACACATCAAATTTTACATTACAATAATCATTAGGATTAGCGGCCATATTCAATAAAGGTTATTTGTAAACAAATCTTTGCACTTAGCATAAAAAATACACTACTCAATACCCTTACAAACTTCACACTTCGACTGAAGTTGAAGATATTTGAGAGGTAAATGCCTTTAAAGGTATTGATAGCATGTAGTTGAAATTAAAAAAAAAATGTTTACAAATCACTCTGAACAGGTGTTAAATACAGCCAATGATGTCGATTCTGGCATGATTCTCTAAAGCTAAACTTAAATTTGACAACAGTGCATCCTTGTCCTTCTCTATACAGAATGAAAAGGTGAGACTGATGTTAAATTTAGTTTTAAGTTTAGAGAATCACGCCAGAATCGACACCAATATCGATACAATAATAGAATATTGAAACATAAATTCATATTATACAAATACGAAACTTTAATATAATATGTAATAAGGCATTACAAAATGCGTTAAATATAAATCTCATCAACAACCCTCCTTTAGTAGCGCGAACTTATTTAAAAGTTAATTAATATGTACAATATATGTTTATAAGGCCTTAGCGACTTTGTACGTAAGCTGGCTGCTTCAGCCTGGAACAAAATGAAAACAATTATTAAAAACGGACAAGTGCAAGTCGGACTTGCTGAATGTGGGTTCTGTACATTGTAATTCGCAACATAAACGGCTGCATTAGAAGTGTGATTTTGTCACAAATTCAAGGGACCGTAGACCTAAGTATCTAGTTTAAATTTCAACTGATACCTCATACGCATTCCTGAGATGGTCTTGACAAATAGACGGACGGTCGGGCTGACGGACAACAAAGTGATCTTATAAGGTTTTCCGTTTTTTTTGAAGCACGGTATCCTAATAGTGAGGAGCTCGACGGTGCGAGTGTTTAGCTCGTTTATTCTGTGATCGTGGAAGTTAAACAAATTTCGTAACGGCCAGTCATTGGATGGGTGACCAAAAATTTTTTAATCTTGAGCTCCTTCGTGCTTTGGAAGGCATGTTAAGCCGTTGGTCCCATCTATCTGCACAGGGCCTGCCCAGTCGCTTATGACCCAACCTCCCTATTCCATTCATAGGAAAACCAAGTTCTATCTACAAGTCACGTTTTCCCCCCTTGAATTCTATGCTATTATTTTATTACCAGTATTTTTTTACAAAATATATAGGTACTGTACGCACAATGAGTTATGCCCCCCTAGCATGAGTAACAAAACGCGATATGATAAAGCGATTTATCGACATTCACAACTCCATTGTAGTTTGACAGTTGAGTGTCGATAAATCGCTTTATCATATCGCGTTTTGTTAGTCATGCTAGGGGGGATGGATTAGTTCTGGTCCTCTCAATAGGTTGAATCAGGGGCTTTTCACTTCGAACTACAATTATTTGTATGGACATCACAGAACGAATTTTAGATAAGTAATATTTCACTAGATGGCGTTATTCAGATCTTTTTTACGTATGGTATTCCTCCAACTTCATATATATTTTTAAACAGTAACACAAAATTATACCTGTGGCTGTCAGTGACTAACAAAAATCAAGAAAGAAGAAATACAGTTTATCAGCATATATTATTTACAACATATTTTATTTTGTAATAATAAACGAAAGAATTGGCTGTATGCGCACAGTACCCTTTGCCTACCCAGAATGGGTAAAGAATCTAAAAAAAAACAACTGTAACAAAAAAAACTGTTCCGTTTACTTTACGCTTCGTGAATTAAATGTTTTCTTGTGATTTTTGGTGGTTTTTCCGACGATTTCAGCTATTTTCCCGGACTCCGATTCTCCTGCTTTTACGTTTAGACCCCAATTTTAGAAAAATTTTTTGCAGGTGGTGTTTTGACTGAAAAGGTAGAATTACAACAAAACGCTGTAAAGAAATCGAAGATACTAAGTAAAAATAAGCTTACCGGTAATTTTTATTTTTATATAAGTATTTTTGTCTATTAAAATTATTTGATAATTTTATTTACTTAACTTTAAAAAAAATATATCAGAAATATGTTATCTATATTTTAAAGAGCACCTATCCTAATCATCTTTATTCTTTTGTTATCTTTTTTCTTACACTTACCTGTATGGGCTTTAGTCATGTTTTAGTTAATAAGTAGACATTACATAATGAAATGAACCTTCCACTTAGTTTTCTTATACTAATAATTAGTTAAAAAAAATTAAAGACTTCTCACCTCACAATGATACTAATTTTATTGAAATGCTTTTTTTCAGCATCTGCAATGGATCAAAGTGTAACTAACTTAAAAAAAAGTGGTGACAAAGCTAACTGAAAAGAATCTCAAATATACAACACGGCTAAAGAAAGCAATGAAACTTTTATGATAGATCCGACTTGTAGATTTTTTATATATAACTGGTGTGGTGAGGTAAATAAATTATTAAACGGCACCATAAAGGTGCGTAATTGTACAAATTTTAAAGATGATATTAAAAGAATGGCATGCAAATATTTAAAAATAAAAATAATTGATTTATAAAACTTCTTTATTTATTCTAACCGACTGTGTTAAAGTTACATTATTAGACAATTATCAAAAAAAACTGTGTAAACGAATAGTAGATAAATAATCTAATAATGTAGCTTTAACACAGTATGGTTTTTTCCTTTTTTCATATTAATAATCGCATCTAAAGCTGCCGGTACCGGTTCAGTAGTACATGACTTGTGATTATGTCATGAATCGCTAGATGGCGCTGTATGCTCAGGTTAACTGATATCTCTATTACTAGTATATAATGTACTCTATGGGTTGAATGTCAATTTGGTGCACTTAAAGATATAACGTAAACTATAACTATTTTGTCCGTATAAAGGATTGCTTCTCACACAAACTATTATCAAGCTCTTTCTTTCTTTTGGGTCACTAAATTCACAATTACATTTAATATTCCTATTTCATTACTTTTAATTTTTAACTGGAGTTTTCACCCTTATTGATATATATACCTAAGAGCGCAGCGCTTGCAGCCGGGGCTGCATCTCATGGAGCTGTGACGTGTACACTTATTCTTATTTGGGACCTCGCTTAAATTAGGTGCATTCACACTCGCATTAGTCACAATTTGACAAGCAAACACGCCGCAAGTGCACTTATAAAACAATATTTCGGATATTATGTGCCAAAAAAAGAAAACAACGCTATCAATACTTTCTAAAATTGGCACAAATATTTCAAGAACATATAACAAATGCCACAGCATCACTTCATTTGTAATACTTTAAAACATTTTTTTCTCTAAATTTACGGTTTGTAATATAACTAAAAAAAACTTTATTTGCATTTTGCCAATTGTTATCCAGAAAAGATCAACATCATAGCTCTGCCGTTTGTAGAGACTTTGTTTACTTTGCAGTTGGACAAGGAACGCTCAGTCTATTACTATTCTATTTAGCTTAGAGCTAAATAGGTAATTTCTAAAAGAAAATTTAAAATCTCTACTCTAGATTATTTTTGGTTTGGTGAATTGGGAGATGGGGATTCATACGTACTTAAGAGCGCAGCCCTTGCAGCCGGGTCCGCATCTCATCGAGCTCGTTCTCGTCGGGCTCGGGGGCTTCGGCCTCCCGCGACGTGGACGGAGCCCCCACGGCGGTGGGCGGCGCCGGCGCTTCGCCCAGCTTACCTTGCGTCAGTTCCCACAACACCTGCATCATAATATATATTAAAATGAAAATATACTTTCGGACACATCCATCGGGCCACCTAGCATTTAAAAGTTTTGATGGTCCCTATATAAAAATATAGTTACATTAAGCAAAAACCTTTTACGCAGTTTTGAAGCTGATTTATTAAACATATTTTTTGTGTGTTTTTTAAATATATTTTATTATTGCTTATCCTACATACATTTTAGCTACAGACTGTTGAAACTTTATTATTGCACCTTGGTGCCCTATAACTCTTTTTAAGTCTGAATACGTTATAGATAATATGCTAATTATAACATATTATTATGTTTTATTAAACATCTCACCTTATCAACTTCACTTTGGGCCGCTTCTTCCATTTCCTCTTCATCCTCCATTCCTGACATGGTTTCATCAAGCATTTCTTCAATGATGCCTGCTTTCATCATCTCCTTACTCAACTCTTGCATAGTGTGAGCAACCTCAGGTAAACGTACTAATGCCTGCATGGCTTGCATCACCTGAAAACAAAGTAAAAGATATGAGTTTGACAATGTTCTCATCAGTTTATTAAAAATAAAAATTACTATATAAGAATAAATAACAAATAAACAACCCATGTATTCTTATTATGTAAATTGTCATTACATAATAAATATTGAATAATTGTATTACCTCTGTTGACTTTTGTAAGGATCCTGCCACTCTCAATGTTGCTGAAATAATAATAAAATTAGGTATTTATACAATAAGCAGTCTAATTTGAATAAATCTTTATGACAAATATGTTATAAATAATTTTATGTTTTAAAATAAGTGAGCATACAATAAAAAAAAAATTCATTAATTGTAAATTTTATCTACACCCATGCTTTAAAACCTTCATTGAAGATTCTGAAACAGTTAGCTAAAAAATATTGCCAAACCAAAACATCCAATGTCATAATTAAATCTAGTAATAAAAAAAATTGCTCAATCCATGGTATTATAAATTTCAAAAAAAGAACATTGTCATACATGCGCATTTCACTACAGCGCCGAAACATTTGATGAATTTTAAGTTTAACAGAAGTAGAACACACCCTGGGTTTCAGAGTTTTCTAAAGAGGATTCAAATCATTGGTGTATAGTGTAGTGTGGTGTAGATAAAGTCTTGTATGCAACTGTTCATAATTAGGTATTAAAACACTTTGTGATACTATTATCACATCAGACACACATCTTATTTTAATAACTCATTATACAAGAGTTGCATATAAAACTATTATTGAAATGAACTGTTTTATGTAATTCAAATATTTTCTCTCTTAAATGGTAGTATACACCCAGGCAAACTTCGTGAGCAACAACCATAGGCAAGAAAGCCTGCTCAGTAGCCATTTAACATAGAACAATGTCTACTGCACAATTTTATTTGTCTGCGGTTTTTCTCAAGGAGTTTGCCGCTACCTATACATGTGTATAGCTTGTTCTCAGATATGCAAATTAAGCAAGTATGTAAATTACCCACTAAAACAAGAAGTGTGATAAGATAAATAACTGTAATAATAATAAGGTATGTATAACTGTGATGAAAATAAAATTATATTGTTTTTATCATAGATAAATATAGACATATTTTTCACTCACCTAATTGATTTTTCATCTGCATCTGTACAGAGTTCAGGTGTGCTTTACTTGTATATATTTTGCTGATTGCTTTTCGAGATCTTATAATTTCTTTAGCTAATATTGTACAGACTTGTTTGTCACTCTTTGCTGCTGCCTCCTTTAGAGATCGTTTGATTTTTTCTTCTTCTCTTTGTATACCTACAATAATAATCAACTTAAATTCACAATAAGATTTTTTTTTTATGTTTTATCACATGATAATTGAAACAGTACTACAAAACCTTATAAACTGTTTAAGTGTTATTTAAGTAACTTTTCTTTATGTTAAAACAAATTTTTATGGTGTATCAGTTTCAATTAATGCTGTAGTAAAGAGTGAGGGACTGCTTTTTCATAACAGGTAACAGGTTCAGGTTTTCATACAGCAAAACTAATTAATATTTTTATTTTATTTAATAAACAGTAAAAGCATACCCATACCTCGTATTTGTCTATCCAAATTGTACCCTTCTTTTCGTAGTTTGTGTGACCATTCATTGACCTAAAAATTCATAATTTTAATTAGTATTCCTTAGAACTGATTTTTTTGTCATGTTTATTGTATTAGAGATATACATACCATCTCTTTTGGGTTCCTCTCAGAAGATTTGCCAAATAGACCCATTATTGTAATTAAAACAAAGTAAACAATAGCAAATTGTGTACAATTTCAATAACTTTTTATCAATTTTTACTGATGTTTTGACAGGTAAACTCTGATGGCAAGAAAGAAAAGAAGATGACATCATTTTTTACGTTCCTTTGTGAATCATGTAAATTCTAAGCTCTCTCAGCTCACGTTACATATAGGAAATATACTGTACTGTATTGTAAGAAAATGTGCTGTATAGTTTCCATTTTAAAAATATTACAATAATTATTAAACATTTTGGATATATTGAGAGTAATAGGTTGATAAGTAAGAATCAGCTGGCGTAATTTGAAGCAATAAATATGCGTGAAATGAAATGGAGTTTATTTTACGTTCCATTTCAATTTCTGTAGTTAGGATGATGCCTACGGTCTCACATAACTAATTATTGTTTTCATTCGATATCAGTGCACATTGATGACTTTATGTATGGCTTCATTTAGTTATTTTTTTATGTGATTTAACATGAATTCAACATAAAAATTATTTTGTGGGCCCCTATCAAACAAAAACGGGGGAAAAATACCTTAAGCGTATAGACAAGGCTGTATTTACTGAGTTCACTTTACCTTCCTTACGAAAAATGGTCAGTCTGTGACAGTTGCGTCTGTTACTTTTAGAGATGAAAAAACGGCTTATTTCTTAAAAGCGCTTAAACGTTGTACTTTTTAAAATAAGCGCGCTTGAAAAAAAGCTTTTTCGTTTAAACGCTTATTGGCTTCAACGTTTGAAAGCATGCGTAAAAAGCGCGACGTTGTGTTGTGTTTTCGTTAAGGTATATCGTTTAAAAAAGCGTCAAAAGTTTATTGTCGTTTTTTATGTGTTTAAGTGTTTTATTGCGTTTTTTCTTCTTATTAATGAAATTTTTATTAAAAAGTTTTTTTAAACCTAATGAATTGATTGGCATTAAAAACGAAAGATTTTCAATTGAATTTAGATTTTATAATAAACATTTTTATAATAGTCAATGAACTTTCCTTCGTACTTTTCAAGCTTAGGACTGTCTGGAGTTAATATACTCGTGATCCAGGCGTACTAAAAAGTTCATTGATTTTATATACATACTTTTAACTATTTTATATGCACATTAAACCAATACACGAAATGCATTAACACAAGCAAGCATGCACACACACCGTACAACACCCACGCGCTCTTACCCCGTCACAGTGACAAGCGTACTGCTTTTCGACTTCGTTTAATTAAACGCTTTTAACGAAAAAAGCGTTGGTTATCCGACCAAATTTTAAAAAAGTGCATTTAATAATTCGCATGCTGTATTAACCGGCTCACGAAAGATGGCACGCCGACGCGGTGCTGTAGTCGCGCGTTCAATGTCTGTGATATTGTGAAATAGGGGGGTCCACTCTGAAAAAACATCGATATATTTTTTTATTCGATACATCGCAACTATATGTCGATGTCATTCGATGTATCGGATGAAAACATCGATGTATTTTAAACATCGAATACTTTTTCTGAAATTTTATTACAAAACTCAACTTATGTGTAAAGTGACCCATCTCAAAAGAGGCCATCTTTTCATAGTAAAAAAAATTACAATTGAAGTTTATGAAAAGACCTTAATCCATAATTTTGTTATAGTTTATATATTAATCTTTCATAAAATAATAGAATTAACTCCTTTCATAATAAGTAGGTAAAACTTAATACAAGTAAAAGTCATGTGTCAGAAAAATCTGTATTATATTTTTACAAAAGATCATATAAAAAAACGCTAAATAACCCGCAAAATGTTTGCTAAGTCTGTCAAAAGGATATTAGAAATATACTTCAATCTTAATTTCTTTCACAAAACTAAAGGTTATTAAATGTTTATAAACATAGAAACTCGTAGTTATTTTTTATTGTCACTGCACTGCGTGGTTATGCAGGCAAAACCAATTTTGACGACTTTAGCAAAAAATCTTTTTATTGCATGCATCGACTAAGTTTTTTCTGCTCTATCGGCAGGTAAAACCCTTTTCTTCATCAAACTTTCCGTTTCGAAGTTACCGCATGTAAAAACCAATTTTAAGACTAGTTAGCCGTGCAAGGCTACAATAAAAAAAAATGGGTGCGTGTACTTATGTAGGCGCGTGAGAAGTTATCCTTCTTTGGCATCGTTTAAAATTAGTTTTTAATTGCATGCAAATAATTAATTACAATAAATTAATAAAAAGTCTGGAAAAGGACACAGTCAATAAAGTTCAGTTTTAATTTGAAAAAATAAATAATCAAAATATTCAATTAAAATCGCTACTGAATATAATTTATTAGAACATATGTGATTTGCACTTGTATGAAACTCAAACACGTATTCCGAATATACAAACTAGAAACATGTGGATAAATATTATAAATATGAATACCTTTATCTGTTACTTTATTACAAAAAATAAAGATGTGGTTTTTGGTTCTACTACACCAATGGTCAAGAGATGGCGCTGTAGTCTCCTGAATCGCGCTTTGGTTCCGTTGTTCCAGATTAATAAATACTTTTGATAGGCCTTCACAATGCAGTCGTTAGCACCCACTAAATAGAGATTCTATTTCTATGTTGTTGGTAGATTTTCTTAATGTGCGGTAAAGACAAAAGTAACAGCATGAAGTAGGTCGCTAAAGCGACCAACCACCAATCAAGCGATGCGCGCGCATCTTAAAATTTCACTCTCATCATTTTTTCATAACGCGCCTAAAGAAGTATAACTTCAATAATTTATGTTGACATAATAAAATTTTTACCGGTTCGGATCCCATGCAAAACAAAATAACACAGTAAAAATGGTTTTCCTTTACAGGGTTTACTGTAATCTTTGTGTGATTTCATCTACAAAATCAAATTACATGAAGATAACATACCCAAGAACTATTATGATTTCAGGCAAAACATAGTATTATTATGTACTTGCTTTTCCGCGAAGTAATTCATTAGTGTATATATCAATTTGATACTAGCAAAAAGTTTATTTGCGTCTAAATGTGTTTTGTTTGAACGAATTTAAAACACGCGCGAATGAAATACCTTCGGCGAAAACCAATTATACTCTCGTACAAATGCGCCGGCGTCAGTTTGGTTCGGTGCTCAGTATAAATGGTTACAAGTTACCTTTTTCTTTGTGATTACTGTAAAAGTAAGTAAAGTTTATGATTTTAATTATGTCAAAGTAGATTCCAAACAGTTTTAGGTTATAAAATGAACCAATTTGTAAAACTAGGTTCTTTTTCGGTTTTTAACTTTGAGTGACAAAGGTTTTAGTAATAAACTACAGTTACGAGCTTTGTGCGTAAATATCAAGAATGTATGTACTGCATAAACTAAGCTTCACGGGTTGGTGAGAGGTATGTACCTACAGTAGGACTTTATTCAACATCAAAATAGACCAGTATACGCTAAGCTCTTGTCTGTACCCGGCGTAGTACAAATAAGAGCCCAGTTTATACTGGTACTTTCTAATTTGATGTGAGATTCATAAGGTATACTGTACAGAATGTAAAAAAATGTCGAAATAACATTTAAGGGCCTGATTCTGCTGTTTAAGTATGTTTTGGTATGGTAGAATTTGGGTGCTTAAGAATCAGGTTACCTGGCACAAACAAATTTGTGCCAGATAAAATGTTATCATGCGTAACTTGCGCATAAGATAACATTTTGTCTGGCACAGATTTGTATGTGCCAGGTAACTTGTTTCTTTATGTAAGCACCCTTTGAAGTTTCTACCTACCTGAGCAACAGAATCAGCCCCTTAATTTTTATTTTTTATAGATAGGTTCGACAAATGACTCCACCCCACCTGATGTTAAGTGAAGGTGATTTCCAGACGCGAAGATAGCTGATACAGCAGTTTTACCTGCCACACCAGCCATCCTCACCCTGCCGGCCTGCATGTTGCTACTTCACGCCTCTTTTAAAGGATCCCAGGTTGTAAGAGGGAGGGAACACGTGAGCGGGCAGAGCATTCCATTTACGGATAGTGCGACAAAGAAATGAGTCACCAAATTTCTTTGTACGCGTTGGAATTGTGGCCACAGTTAGACGGTGACAAGGTAGGCCAGCGCGCGTGGTCCTCTGAAGGAAAGGGGAAGGTGGGATAAGAGAGAATAACTCCTCAGAACACTCGCCGTGGTACAGACGATAGAACGCGCTTAGTATCGCCACGTCACGGCGTAATTGAAGAGGCTCAATTTTGTCTATAATTTCATCATTTTGTATGATTCATTAAGGTTTTATGTAAATTGGCGGAAATATTTTTAATGATTGTTTAGGATGTCAGATTAATTATGCCTTCCAGTAAACAATATCTATCTGATAAAGATGCATTTTCCAGGGTCACTGGAACTGTGGTGCGTGGTGGACTGTCAATTAATTAGTTCAATATCTGAATTACTCACACAGAGGGTAAATTATTAAAGAGAACTCTTGTATTAATGAGACCGACCGTACCCTACCTTTCTGTGTGTTTGTGTGCAATAAACGTTATTCCCGAAGAATACCAGGAATAGTTCAAATCACTTCCAAGTGAAAAAGATAAAAAGGATCTATTACCTGATGCAACGCTTTCCGATGAAGAGTATGATCCAAATGATGATTAAGATTTTAAACTTAATCATCATTTGGATCATACCCTTTATTTTAATATAATTTTTCTTTGTGTTCACGTTTCGTAATTTTGTCTCCTTTTCATTTTAATAAATAATTTCAATGCATTTTTGTTTTTATTCAGTAAATACTAATTTAGTACATTTTTTTAAGTTTTGACGACTTACCATATTTCTCTTCCTAACTAGTTCAGGGAAAACCAAGTTTAAATTAGGAATTATCTTAGATGTGCTCACAATTTTGTGTACATTTGTTTTTTATAAAGTATGTAGATATTACATTTAAAATACTACCACGTCATTATGTGAATGATTCTCTAGAGAATCATGATTTTTATTCACCTGGGAAAACCAATAACGAATGGTCCATTTTTTGTTTGAACAAATAATTTGCAGACTTCCCTTTTCTTTTTCATATTAAAGTTGTACTTTAACCCAAAATGATGAATTCAGGCCCACCATGACCATAT